TCTTTTTGTTTCGTTATCTTATTGAGATTTTAAAAAATAGAAATCTCACCAATAAACCCAAAAATAGACAAATAATAACGCTGACAAACTGATGAGGAAATCTGGGGAACGGAACTCAAGATTGGGAAAATGAGAGGCAGAGGGAAACCGAAACGGACGTCCGTCCCTAGTTACAAGTCTGACCTTCACGAAATGCCCCTTTTTTATCTCTCCAGTTTGTGGCCTGACCCCCATGATGCCCTTGGTCCATTCTCCTGGATTGGACCTGGAGGGATCCTGGGCAGAGGGGCAGAAGGGAAGCCCTGGAGAGACGCCCCTTCACTTGGCAGCTCGATTCTCCCGTGCTGATGCCGCCCGCAGGCTCCTGGCCTCCGGCGCCGACGTCAACGCCCGCGACCAGTGGGGACGGAGCCCCTTGCACAGCGCCATCGCGGCCGATGCGCTGGGTGTATTCCAGGTGACTAAAATAAAACGGAGGTGCAGGAGTGGAATGACTTCACACTCCCAGAAGGCCTTCTCCATACAAACAAGACTCTTTGAACACAGAGGACAAGGCTATCATACTGGTCACAATGTCCATGTTCTCTCCCAGTGTGGTTTAGTGGGTAAGAGCAGCAGACTCGTAATCTGGTGAACCGGGTTCGCTTCCCTGCTCCTCCACATGTAGCTGCTGGGTGACATTGGGCCAGTCACACTTCTCTGAAGTCTCTCAGCCCCACTCACCTCACAGAGTGTTTGTTGTGGGGGAGGAAGGGAAAGGAGATTGTTAGCCGCTTTGAGACTCCTTCGGGTAGTGATAAAGCAGGATATCAAATCCAAATCCAAACTCTTCTTCTCTCTCCACTGTCAGAGGCAATATATGCCTCCGAAGAGCACTCGCTGGGAATCACAATTGGGGAGGTGGGTGCACTTGGGTCCTTCTCTCAGGCTTCTTGGGGGCGCATCTTGTTGGCAACGGGGAGGACAGAATGCGAGACTAGGTGGGTGTCTTTGGATGCAGAGGAACGGTGGGGGAAACCAGCTGGGGAACCCCCAAAGGAAGAAGGCTGAGAGCCCTGGGAGTGGTGGTGGGACAACGATGAGTGGTCAGAGGGAGAAGACTGGGAGGAGGAGGTGTGGGAAGCTGACTTGGTCACAGGGCTTGGTGAGCAGGGAGACTCTGTAGCAGAGAGGAGTCCAGAATCAGAAGCAGGAGAGGAGGGAGGTCAAGAGGCAGAGACAAGTCAGGCTGGTGAAGAGTCATAGGTTGTCTCCCCCATCCTGTTGCGACAAGCTCCCCTTAGGTCTCCCAGGACCAAGAGAGGCATGAAAAGAGCAGAGGAGAGGTTAGCTGCATGCAGGCGCAGTCTCTGATTGCTTGGGGGAAACCCTGGAGAGGAGTGACTGTGGCAAGAGCATAAGGAGAGCTCTGCTGGATGAGGCCAGCGGCCCACTGGCAGGAGTGAGCCAGCAGCAATTTTTTTAAAAAGGGAACATTTTCTCCACAGATCCTTCTGCGGCACCGGCATACAGACTTAGACGCATCAGCGCACGACGGCACCACCCCTCTCATGCTTGCCACACGGCTTGGGGTTGAAAACATGGTGGAGGAGCTGGTCGCCAATCACGCCGACATCAGGGCTGTGGATAAGAGAGGTGAGGGCATTGCTTGTCCGTGTGCTGAACCCAAAGTGGCATGTCCCAGAAGGCCTGCAAACGCCATCTTGGTAGTCAAGATAACACCAAAACTAATAGTTGTTGTAGGACTGAGCTTATATATGTATGTGCATTCACTCACTTTGATGTATGCTAATTGGGTCGCATTGATGCTGTGCTTATCTGTGGAGAGACTTTGGGCAGTTGCCACCTATGGCCTCACCAGCCGGGTGCAATGGGAAGTTCTAGGTAAACAGATATACACTTTTGTTGTTGTTGTTGTTTAGTTGTTTATTATTATTATTATTATTATTATTATTAGTCGTGTCTGACTCTTCGTGACCCCATGGACCAGAGCACGCCAGGCACTCCTGTCTTCCACTGCCTCCCGCAGTTTGGTCAAACTCATTTTAGTGGCTTCGAGAACACTGTCCAACCATCTCGTCCTCTTGTCGTCCCCTTCTCCTTGTGCCTTCCATCTTTCCCAACATCAGGGTCTTTTCCAGGGAGTCTTCTCTTCTCATGAGGTGGCCAAAGTATTGGAGCCTCAGCTTCATGATCTGTCCTTCCAGTGAGCACTCGGGGCTGATTTCCTTAAGAATGGATAGATTTGATCTTCTTGCAGTCCATGGGACTCTCAAGAGTCTCCTCCAGCACCATAATTCAAAAGCATCAATTCTTTGGCGATCAGCCTTCTCTATGGTCCAGCTCTCACTTCCATACATCACTACTGGGAAAACCATAGCTTTATGGATTTTGCTTTGTGCATAAAGGATGCAGAACTGTTTGCTTGGGTGCGGACAAGCCATCTCCTTGCTGCAGCGTCCGTCCCACATCTGGGGTCCTGGCAGGCTGATTTGCTGTAAGTTAGGGTTGCCATATTTCAAAAAGTGAAAATTAGGACACAAAAGTTTTTAGTTTTGCCCAGACTTGTTGAGATTTTTCTTGCTAAATCTCAAATTTTTATTTTTGAGTTTTAAGTTTTTGAGCTATTTTTAAGGAAATACACTTCCGAGATGGGTTGTCATACGACTGAATTTTCCCGCACATTTCAGTAGTTTCCGTCTGGGCACTGTTCTGGCTATGCCCAGGAAATTCTGGACGTATGGCAACCCTACGTAAGTCTACACCAGGGAGCTCCTCCAAGGAGGTTTGGTTTGGCTGATTGATGGCGACTTGGCCAAGATCACCCAGAGAACCTCATGGATTTCGATTCAGTCAATCCCTGTATTCTCTGTCCCACAGGAAAAAACGGCCCTCCACTGGGCTGCGGCGGTCAATAACGTCCGTGCCACCCTTGTCCTGCTCAGAAATGGAGCTGATAAGGACAGCCAGGATAATCGGGTAGGTAATGTCTTTTTCTGCTCATGCCGTCTGAAAACAGACACGTCAGAGGTGGAGGGGAAACTGTAGGGGTATGCATGGGGTCTGCTAACAAGCCTCAGCACCTTTAACAAACTGTATTTCCCATTGAGGGAAGCCATGGCTGTTTTATAAGCGTGCTTTAAATAGATTTGTGCAGATGCGACTCTTAACTTTTATCTATTTTGCGCCCTCCCATCAGGCACAGACTCCGTTGTTTGTGGCTGCCCAGGAGGGGAGCTACAAAGTGGCCTGCCTTCTTCTCCAAAATGGAGCCAAGCAGAGCATCCGGGACCACGTGGGCCGCCTCCCGAAGGACGTGGCCCTCGAGCGCCTCCACCACGACATCCTGGCCCTCTTGGACTGCCCCCGCCCCTCCCAGCAGCTCTCGCCACACAGGCCACGCCCCCAGCCCCAACGGTCTGCCGGCAGTCCACACAGGTTAAAGTGGCAACCTGGCAACCAGCGGCTAACTCCGGTCCCAGAGAACAAGGGCCCTTTTAAGGACCTCCCCGCTCCTACGCTGCCGATTGGCCAATCAGAAAACGCTGTGGGGCCACCCGACGAGTGACTCTGCACCCTCTGGGTCTGGGTTGGCCAGAGGCTACAGCTGCAAGTCAGCGACAGCGGACTGAGCCATGGCGTGGCGCTTCCTGATGAGGTCATGCGGGGCTGGGATGATGTCACAGGACGGCACCACGAAGGGAGGCAATTCAGAGCCGAGCGGTGCCCGAGGGCAGATTTAGACGTCCTGCATGGAGGAACGAGGAGGATCTTGTGTAAAACCGGAGAACTGTCTGAGGACACATCTGAGGTCATGCAAGGTGTTGTTGCACGGGTCCGTGGCAATGATATGTCACACAGCTTGGAGCGTACGGAAAAACCCTTGAACATAACTTGCTGTTGGACAAGGGTGGACGATCTCAGGCTACTGGGGTCAGAGTGGTCTTTCGCCCTGCTTCCTCAAGCTGCAATTCCCCAATATACGTGCTGTCATGGTTGGCTTTGCTTTTCCACTGGTGCAGAATCAGATAGACGGGGGTTTATGAAGACCAGGCCTCGCAATGATTACACACCATCCCTGCCACGTAGCATAGCTCAGCTCTGCCTGCTTAGAACCTCGAGGGCTCCTTAGAAATCAGAACCGGGGATCTGCTCTCTTGCGGCTAATCTTCCCTGCTCCTCCTCCCAGCATCTAAACAAAAATTATCAGGGAGAAGGGAGGAGCTCTGTCCCCCAACCCTTAGAAAAATTGGGAGGGGGGCATAAGAAGAGCCTGCCAGATCAGTCCAAATGCCCGTCTAGTCCAGTGTCCTGCTTTCACAAGGACTAACCGAATGCCTGTAGGAAAACTGAGCAGAAGAGAACTCTCCCCACCAGCATTTCCCAATAACTGATATTCGGAGGTTTGCTGCCTGTGACAGTGGAGGCTGAGCATAGATATTGTGGCTAACAACCCAAAAACAATGGAAGCAAGTGAAAAATCTCCTGGCTGTGTCCTGGGGAAAGGATTGGCTGCCGTGCTTGAAAAGTTCATTTTTAAAAAGAGCTAGTTCAAGGGTGTCCCAAAAGGAAAACTACTTCTAGTACCTGTGCGATATAAACTAGTTTGGTTAACGCTTGGTTTAGATTTATCCAAATTATCCTTAGCAAACACACACACATTCAGCATTCAGAATGTTGCAAGCAGCTGTGCTGAATTATAAAATATACCGTATTTTTTGCTCTATACAACTCAATTTTTCCCTCCTAAAAAGTAAGGGGAAATGTGTGTGCGTCTTATGGAGCGAATGAAGACTGCACAGCTATCCCAGAAGCCAGAACAGCAAGAGGGATTGCTGCTTTCACTGCACAGCGATCCCTCTTGCTGTTCTGGCTTCTGAGATTCAGAATTTTCCCCCCCTTGTTTTCCTCCTCCAAAAACTAGGTGCGTCTTGTAGTCTGTTGCATCTTATAGAGCGAAAAGAGGAAGGCTAAGCAAATATCAAAATCCACACACAAAGCAGTTTTTAAGATATATTTTCCCCAGCCATTATGATCTTTAAGCTTAAAAGCCCAAAGAGTCTAAAGAGTAAAAACAAAACAAAACAAAACATGTAAGCCAATGAACCTGAAAATGAGCTAGAAACCGTTGAAAGTTCTACAAACACACCCCACACACAAAAAACCCCAAACTTATTTTGCATTCAGTTCACCCAGAAATCATTAGAATGACTTTTGGGCGTTGTTCAGAGATTTTTGAACGAATTCAGTCCGCTTCGCTAAACCAAACTGGTTCATTAGAAGCAAAATTTCGTGCGTGGCAGACTGCCATTAAAAGCCAGTACAAAAAGGTAACCCTTGCCTACACTCTGCATATGCTCAAAAACACTCTCCCCTTGTGTCATCCAGTCACATATCCTTGGATTGAAAATACTTAGGTTCTGGACTGGCTCTTGCTGGAACTCAGGCTGAGCCCTGAATATCTGAAAATGTACTGCTAAAATAAATGTACTAGCTTTGGAGGTTTTTTTACGAGCCGTTTTTTTCCCCCCTTCCCCCACCCACTGTCGAGTCGCCTGCTCCCAGTTTCATGGGAAATAACATTTATTGAAAAAGCACCATGATCTTAACTAAAAAAACACCAGCCTCGCTTGGAATGATTCCTCAGCACCCTCCATCTTATTTCAAGCATGGTTTCTCTGTCTGCAACAGCTGCACTAACCTATCTAACATGGTAGCATTCAGAGCTTCTACAGCAAGGAGGGGAACACCTGTAGCCACCTAGTTGTTCCAGAACTATAACTCCCAGCATCTCTGACCAATGGGACACAGTGGCTGAAGCAGATGGGAGCCCGTCAACATCTGTAGAGGAAACCTAGGTAGTTTTGAAGATGCCAAGGGACTCTCTCTGTGCGTAGGCTGTTTTGGCGATTGCCAAAAACAGGTGCCCCTCTCTCTTCTCCCTGTCTAGGAAGCTGCAGAACTCTTTGCACATTAAAAGCAAAAAAAGCAACCACACTCATCGCAATTGCAAACAGTCCCCGTGCTGAACGATTCTCTCTCCGGTTGTCATTCCAGGTTTAGCCGCAGGGTGGCAAACGGTGCCATACTTGAAAATAGTAACAAGTTCCACAAGTTCTTGTTTCTCCCAGAGGTGCTACAGCGGCCTCTTGGGGGAGGGCGGAGCGGGGGGGGCGCAGAAACACCCCACTCTTTTCACAGAACCCCGTATGAGGCAGGACCAAAGATGGAGGGCGGAAGGAAGGCAGGCAGCGCAGGGTCACACCAGCCACCAGAAGCGTATGTAGATCATAAGTATCACAAAGACAAGACTGGTAGCGGCGGCTTTGGCATAGGCGGAACGGCTGTTGAGGAGTTTGGCGTCATGGCGGTATTTCTTGGAGAGAGTTGACAGGTTGCTGGCCTTGGAATCCAGAGCTGGAGGGCAAATAGATGAAAAAGGAAGACAGGGCTGGCTAACGGACCTTTTAAAACCCCATCTTTGCCGTTTTTTCTCTTCCCGCTCGCCACAGTGAGCGGCTAAACAGTCGTAAGCGAATATGTCCAGGCCCGGATTTCCTCCCAAACCTGGGGATGTGATATCCTCGCATCCACCCCAGGCCCCAAATTAGACAGACGTGAGATTTTGCTCTGTGACTTCCAATATGACAGGCAGATCACTGCATACAGACACAGATCTCCCCGCAGCACTGATCACAAACCCCCTTTCCCCATACCTGATAAGGCCTCTCCACGTTGGAGCACCTCTTCAATGTTGGTCACCATGATCTTCTGAACATCCTGTAGCTCCATGTTGATGCTGCTCAGGTGGCGCTTGGACCAGGTGTCCAGGTAGGATTTCTTCAGCTTCTGGATATAGAGGTCTTAAAAAAATATATAGGAGGGTTTAGTGGATTGGCAACATCTGAGATGAACTACTACTAGGCCACTGGGACTCAGCTTTTGGGGGTGGGTGGGGCTGAGGCCACTCGCCCAGTGGTTTGGTTTTTTTTACACTGGTATCCTGATCTTTCTCTAAGGACTTCAAGGTAGTGCCTACAGTCCCGTCCCCCCCCAATCCATTTTATCTGTGTAACAACACTGGTCCAAGCTCACCCAGTGGTCTTCATGACTGAGTGGGGATTTGAACCCTGCTCTCCCAGGTCCTAGGCCATGATTCTGGCCACTACTCCATGCTGCTGTGGTGTGTACACGTGGCCCTAAATGAATGTGGGTCTGCTTTAATTTTTATTCCAAGTTTTGCAGGGGATCATAAAAAAATTGGCTCGAGGGAGCAGGCAAATTAGCTCTCGCCCCCCCACCCAAATAAAGAAACCTGGAGGTGGTCCACTTCTCTTCTAGACAAATAAATAAAAGTACACTCCAGATCCAATAGCCACCAGGACTGAACCTAAGGTCTTCTGCTTGCAAGGCAGGTAGGAGTTTTGTGTTGCCTAACACAGTTTAGACAATGAGGACTAGGAGGCTGGCTGGGCTGGGCTGGAGAGGCTCCCCAGTTAGTACGCACCAAACTCGATGAAGGCGTATGGCCGTGACACGGAGGACACCTTCTTCCCGTACAGCTCCCAGAATTCGGCTTGCAGCTCCTCCAGGAAGGCGAAGGCCAGCTTTTTGGAGTAAGCGGCTTCGCACAGCGTCAGGTAGCAAATGCCCTGGCTGATCAGGTAGCTGCAGAGGAGGAAGAGGACACAGAAGCGAGGAGGAAGGGAAGTCGTGATCCGGCTCCTTCAAGCAAGCACAAACAGCCTCACAAGCAAGTTTCTAGACCCTAGGAATTTGTAGCAGCGCAACCGCACTAGTAAAATAATGCAAATAATCGACAACGTTGGGATAGCTTGCATGAATAAAGGAACCATCATCTCCCAATTGGGAACATAGGTGACCATGCAAGTTATTTCGGTGAAGGTGGTTTAGAAGCAGCAGCCGGGTGTCGTGTGGAGCTGCCTTATACCGAGTCTCACCATTGGTCCATTTAGTTCAGTGTTGTGAAATATGATTGGCAGCAGCTCTTCCACATCGAAGAAAGAGACATTTTCCAGCCCTGCTGCCCAAGAATGCTTTTTTAATCTAGACAAGCAAAGGGACTGGGCCTTCTGCATGCAAAGCACATGCTCTATCTCTAAATTGGGGGCCCTCCAACTTCTCTCAATTGTAGCTTCCCCCAGTCCAGGCAGGTTTCACATTCAGGATTCGAACACAGGGCCCCCCGCGCTCTTAAGTGAGAAACACACATCCACAGCAGGGATGGGGAAACCTGCGACCCGCAAGCTGTTCTTGGACTCCAGCAGACATCAGCCCCAGCCAGCATGGCCGACGGCCTGGGGTGATGGGAGCTACCTTGGACAAAATATTCCTGCATTGCAGGGGGTTGGACTAGATGACCCTTGGGGTCCCCTTCCAACTCTATAATTCTAAGATAGTTCTGTGAATAACATCCAGAAAGAGCCAGATCCCCCCACCCCCTGCTCTAGGCCTACTGCCCTGTCAACCCCAGCGCTGTTATTGCATCTTTTAACAGTTCGCAGGTTCTCAAAAGAGATGCCCTTTTAATACCACGCTCCCTCCTTATTTCTGAGAAACACTTACTGGAAAGTCATCGCCCCAGCCTGCAAGGAACAGCGGTTCGGCGAATGCTCCCCAAGCTTCCGGAAAAGTTGCTTCGCTTGGCTGTGATATTCTTGGAAGTTCCGGTTCGACTGCAGAGGAAATAATTGGGACTAACACCAAGGGGATAAGGCTATCGGAGACTACGTTTTCCCTCCACTGTGGGGGGCTGATATTCCCCTCTGAATATCAGCTTCTGAGAGCTACAGGTAGGAAGACTGGTGGTGTCGCTCTCTGACGGTCCTGCTGTTGAGCTTCCCAGAAAAAAGGCATGTGCTTGGCCACTCTGTGAACAGGACGCTAGACCAGGGTAGGCCGCTGGCCTGATTCAGCCATTCTGTTTTTACCCTGGTCTTGGATACTCAAGAGGTATATTTTTACAACCCACCCTGTTCCTGCGGCTGCAATTTGTTTTAAATGGTTTTTAATGTTGGATTTGTGATGTGCCCTTGGGGTGTTAGGGTGAAGGATGGGAAACAAATCAAATAATTATACTTATAATACCGCAATAATAATTCACCTCCGGCGGCAAAATCTCTCGCACCAGCCAAGGAGCTAAAATAAAAATTCTGGGAAGGGGGCAGGTTACAGCTGGTTGTGGGGTAGGAAGAATCTCTATGATTCCAAGTCTTCTGGGCTCCCTCAGGAAGAGAGAAAGGCAATTACATTATTGGGCATCGTTAGAGGATTGTTACAGCACACTTAATCCTACAACAGCTTTGCATGGCAGGCTGGCATTATTGCCTGAATACTAAAGATGGGAGTCTGAGGGCACACATTGGATTGCCTAAGTCTGTTTAATAATAATAATAATAATAATAATAATAATAATAATTATTATTTATACCCCGCCCATCTGGGCGGCTTCCAAAAAAATATTAAAATACTGTAATACATCAAACATTAAAAGCTTCCCTAAACAGGGCTGCCTTCAGATGTCTTCTAAAAATTTGGTAGTTGTTTTTCTCTTTGACATCTGGTGGGAGGGTGTTCCATAGGGCGGGTGCCACTACCGAGAAGGCCCTCTGCCTGGTTCCCTGTAACTTGGCTTCTCGCAGTGAGGGAACCGCCAGAAGTCCCTCAGCGCTGGACCTCAGTGTCCGGGTAGAACGATGGGGGTGGAGAGTCAAACGTGAAAAGAATAACAGTCTTGCTGGATAATCTAGTCCAGCAACTTGTTTTCATCACTTGCCAGTTAAAGGTAAAGGGACCCTGACCATTAGGTCCAGTCGTGGCCGACTCTGGGGTTGCGGCGCTCATCTCGCTTTATTGGCTGAGGGAGCCGGCGTACAGCTTCCGGGTCACATGGCCAGCATGACTAAGCTGCTTCTGGTGAACCAGAGCAGCACACGGAAATGCCGTTTACCTTCCCGCCGGAGTGGTACCTATTTATCTACTTGCACTTTGATGTGCTTTCAAACTGCTAGGTTGGCAGGAGCAGGGACCGAGCAACGGGAGCTCACCCCGTCGCAGGGGATTCGAACTGCCGACCTTCTGATCAGCAAGTCCTAGGCTCTGTGGTTTAACCCACAGCGCCACCCGCGTCCCTAGTTAGCTGCCCATTTTTGTTAGCTCCTGAAGGACCCTTGTGATCTTCTCCCAAGTTCTGGTATTGAAAGATAAACTGCCTCTGAGCAAGGAAGCTCTCTTTAGCAGTTATGGTTCACCTGCCTAAAGCTGGTTCTATATATGAGTGTGTGTAATGAAGTGCTTGGGAAATACAAAATTAGCCTACAATACAAAGTACACTTGAAGCGGTCTCCTATACGCTGGAGCAGCCCTTTTTGCATCAAGGGCCGCATTCGCCCTCAGCCAAACCTCTGAGGGCCACATGCCAGCGGTGGGCGGGGCCAAAAGTGGGCACACTCATCTGCCCCACACATCAACTGGGAGGCAGGAGAGAGATTTATTCTTCTTTTTCCAGTGGCGGGAAGGGTAGATTTGTAATGCAGGAAGCTGCCTTATAGTGAGTCAGACCACTGGCCCACCTAGCTCAGTACTGTCAACACTGACCGGAAGCAGCACTCCGGGGTTCCAGAGTGAGGCCTCCCCTAACTGTACCTGGAAATGTCCGGACTGAACCTAGGAATTTCTGCAAGCAAAGCAGGTGCTCCACCACTGAGCATTCCAAATCAGGGCACCATCTTACTTTTTAATTTACTTATTTATTTTGCACTGCCTTCAAAACCCATGGGATCTCGAAGTGGGACAGAAAAATTACCAAGAGGAGGAGTGGGTCCAGATCAGGTCCCCCAAACTGGCATTTATCCACCCCTGCTATATGTTGTATTATTATTATTATTATTATTATTGTTATTATTATTATTATCATTATCATTATTATTTGTACTCAGAAAGGTGTCTCATTGTTTTTCAATTGAGTTTCCTTGCAGATGTGTGTACTAGACTGCAGCCTTCAAACAGTCGCCCCGGGACGTTTGGTGCTATTAATTTATTTGTTTAACACCTCCACTCCACGTGCGCCACTGTCATAACCCCTACCTAAATCATCTCTGAAACCAGGTTTGAAAGTTCACTCCCCCCCCAACAACAATAATAATAATTTATTATTTATACCCCGCCCATCTGGCTGAGTTTCCCACGTAGAACAAAACCAGGTGCAAGTAAGAAGTAGCGAAAAGGGTCCTAAAAAGCGGAAAGGTGACCCTTGAGAGGAAAGGATTTCCTAGTGGTTAGAGCTGGAGAGGGTCGGCTGAGCGGGGGGAGGGGCGGAGATGCCCTGGAAGCCCCGGACTCCTGGGTTCCTCCTTCCTCTTACCTGCTCCGTTTCTTGCATAGAAGCTGCCAGGAGAAGCCCGTCTTGGACCCGGCTAATCATGGTAAGCAAGACCATCCTGGCTGGGGGCGGGGGGGGGAAGGGGGGTCCTGGGGTGTTTTTTAAGGGGGGGTATCCCTCTCCCCCTCCCCTCCGGAGGCTGCAGCCGGACCCGGACTCCCGGCTGACGTGGCCGACGGGAGGGATGCAAATCGCGGGCGAAGCGGGGCGGAGCGACGCCGCCAAGAAGTTAGTTTGGCACCAGGCGAGGCGCGCACGCCCCGCCCGGCCTCCGGAGGGCTCCTCCTCTCTTTCGCCTTGGAGGTAATATCCCTGCTAGTAATATCGTTAGCAGCAGCAACTCTTTAGCTTGTGTTGATTTTAGTCATTGTGGGAGGTTTTTTTTTAAAAAAAGTTGCAATTATTATTGTATAGCTTGATGGGCTGAGCTGCTTTGGCCATCGTGGCCGCATCTGGCATTTTTGCAACTTCGATTATTGGGCCTTGTGGGTTGCATTATCTTCGTCGTGGTTTTGTATTCTAATAATACAATTTTGCAAATAATAAGAATTTGAAAGTTACTGAACAGGAATATGGCAGACTTCAAAAACAGCAGGCACCAGTAAATTACCAAAGTACAAAGTAATGATGCCAAAAAAATAAGCGGAAGTAACTTTTTAGGTTGTCTGGTTTTAGCTATTGTGGCATGTTGCGCTTTTGCAATTTATTTTGCAAAACTTACAAACCACTCAAAAAACGAGTGGCCACTGAGGGTGCTTGCCAGCTTTACAGCGCAGTTCTACATAGGTCTACTCTGTGGTGTAAAGTTTAAGTTCTGCTGTTACAAATTGCAGGCGCGTTGAGCTGAGGGGGCTTCTGAGCCTGTGCAGAGTTCCTTTGCCTGGAGTATTCCCGGAGCGTCTGTTTTCTTTGGAATGGACACCATTCACTCAATTATTCTTGAAAAGCCAGTTGTTGCTCCCTAGACTGATCTCGTTTCCCAGCCGCCCCCTCCCTCCAGCATCTCATCCCCCTCAACTGCTCATTTGTAGCATTTCTTCCGCTCCCCCAGCTTCAAATGCAATTGCACAGGAACACCGGAAGTTGGCTTATGCCGAGTCAAACCATTGGTCCACCTAGCACAGTACTGGCAGCACAGACTGGCAGCAAAGTTTCAAACAGGGGACACTCTTGCCCTTTTTTTTTGGAGATGCAAGGAACTGAACCTGGGACCTTCTGCAGATGCTCTGCCCCATGGGTAGACAACCTAAGGCCCGTGGGCCGGATCCGGCCCAATCGCCTTCTCAATCCAGCCCGCGGACGGTTCAGGAATCAGTGTGTTTTTACATGAGGAGAATGTGTGCTTTTATTTAAAATGCGTCTCTGGGTTATTTGTGGAGCATAGGAATTCATTCATTTCCCCCCCAAAAAATATGGTCCAACCCCCAACAAGGTCTGAGGGACAGTGGACCGGCCCGCTGCTGAAAAAGTTTGCTGACCCTGCTCTGACCCCTGAGTGACAGCTCTTGGTGCTTGCAGAGACGGACACCACTGCCTTCTTGTCCTGCCTTCTGTGGAGTGTCCCTTGACACAGGCTGTGTCGTGGATGTTGAAGGTGGGTGCTTCTAGGCAAGGGCTACATCTCACAAACGGGTCACTCAGATCCAGTTTTTCCATGCGTATCACTGGCGCATGGCCACCCACCCACTCATTTTTGAATGCATGTGTTCTTCACAGATATTCTATTGTTTCCTGGCCCGTGGCGAAAGTAGGCTTTATTTCACCTGGATCAAAGACCCAGTTTGGCACACTCACCCCATGTGCATTTGCGTACCCACACACATAGGCTGGGAGCTTCCACTGGGGCAAAAAAAAAACCCGGCTAGGCCTCCTGTAGCTACAGCTCTGCCTGATGGCCATACCATTAGCAAGGAGTGCAGTGTCCTGCATGAAATGTTTTGGTGCTGTCTTCTTGGCCTTTTGTGGGCATGCACAAAGGTAATTCTGTCCCTGTGCCTGCACACCATTAAAAAAAAATGGACAGGAAGTGTGAAACTGCAGTTATTACAAGCTCCTAGTTTTCATGTTCCACAATGGCCTAGAGCAGGGGTCTGCAACCTGCGGCTCCGGAGCCGCATGTGGCTCTTTTACACCTTTGCCGCGGCTCCGGGGCGGATACTAGCGAGGGGAGGAGGCGCACTGTGTGCCCCGACACTCCCCACTGTGGCGGGCGCTGTACTGGCTGTGACGTCGCATGGGGGCGGTGCGTGCGTTAGTTTTGCGGCTCCCAGTTTTTTCCCCCTTCGGAAACGGGTCCAAGTGGCTCTTTTTGTCTTAAAGGTTGCAGACCCCTGGCCTAGAGGGATGCTTGTACTTTCTGGAGAGTGAGCAAGACTGATGTGCTTTGGCCTTGCCTCCCTCGTTTTTGTTCTTGTTTTACATTTTTAAGACACAGGTCTTGCGGAAGGCTGACATTTGGCCATGCCAAAATTCTGATAAAGGGGTCTTGGGCGAGACCTCTGCATTAATACCTTTTAAAAGTCCTTATTCAGTCACACGTTTTAAGCAAAAAGCTCTCCTGAACTAGGGTTGCCATATTTCAAAAAGTGAAAATCTGGACACAAAAGTTGGGGGGGTCAAATATTTTTTTTGGGGGGGGGTGAAATGTTGTTGAACTTCTTTTGCAAAATCTCAAGCAACCCGGGTTTTTGAAAATTCAACAGATGAATCCTGGCTGTGTCCGGTCATATGGCAGCCGTATCTGAACAGAGTTGCCAATATTCCAGTGTGCATTTGCCATGTGTCCATACTGTTTGGAAACAAAATGGTTTTACTCCTATAACAAATTGTACAGAAAGAGGAGAGGACAGGAAAGTGTGTGGATAGGCCCTTAATGTTAAAGGGATAAAGTACAGGTTGACATTTTGATGAGGATGCTGATATCGTATGATCAGTTCAAAAAACGTGCGTGCGCTTACGACCCTGGGCAAAGTATACCTTCACCAGACTGGGCAAAGTATACCTTCACCAGACTGCGCCTGGCAGTCTTTTTCAGGGGCTAATGGCCACAAGACAGCGGTAGCTTGCCTCGGACTGCCAGTGGCTGGGAATCACATGTGAGGAGAACAGGGCTTCTGCACTCAGGTGGGCTCTGCATGTTCTGAAGAGGAATGTGACAGGCAGATGGGGCTCGTCAACCTGGGAAGGGAGCCCATCTAGGAGAAGGAAAACTCTGATCCTCCGCTGCCTTGCAAGATGTCTATACAGCTGACTGTGCCCCCAAATACCCCAGTAATAAGATCATTAAGTTCACAGATGATACAACGGTGGTTGGTTTAATCACGGCTGGAGAGGGGGAGGTGGCCTATAGGAAGGAAGCTGAGCAGTCGGGGGAGTGGTGCAGGAAAAACAACTTACTCCTTAACTTAAAGAAAACAAAAGAGATTATTATGGACTTTAGGAAATGTAAATTGAATATTCAGCCACTTATTATTGAGGGGAAGTGCGTGGAACAGGTCTCGGTGTTTCGATTTCTGGGAATGGACTTGAGAGATGACCTAACCTGGGGAGAAAACAGCAGAGACCTGATGAAGAGAGCGCAGCAGAGGTTATGTTTTCTGAGAATCCTCCGAAAAAACCATCTCTCAAAGGACCTGTTGATGGCATTTTACCATTGTACTGTTGAGAGTGTATTAACTTATGGTCTGTGTGTGTGGTTTGGGAGCTGCACGGTCAGGGAAAAAACAATGCTGTCCAGGGTTGTAAAGACTGCGGAGAGAATAACTGGGTGCACTCTTCCCACCTTGGATCAAATCTATGCTGCCAGGTGCCACAAGAAAGTGGCAGAGATAGCGCAGGATAGTGTGCACCCTGGAAATTATCTCTCTCAGCTTCTGCCTTCCTCAAGAAGGTACAGGGATATAAAGACTAGGACTAGCCTCCTGAGAAATCGTTTCTATCCAAATGCGATTTTGGTTTTAAACGCAGGGTAAGGAGTCTCTATGGGAGTATATTGTATTTAAAAATGGGGTATCCGAGTTTTTAGGGGGCTAACCAGGTTGGGATGGCTGGGATAGCAGGCTTGTTGGTTTTTGAATGTCTTGTGTAGATTTTTCAATTTTGTTGTTCTGTATGGGACAATGACAATAAAGATTATCGTATCGTAAGAAAAGGCTCAGGAGTAACCCGACACAAATCCAGAGTCGGGTCCCTAAGATGGTTGGTTGGCGCCTTGTACGCCTCCTTCCGGCAAGTCTTGCAGCCCAGCTGGGGCCAAATGCCTTGCTTCTTTCCTGTGGACCACACCAGCGAGGACAAGAGGGGCGTCTTGTGGTCTGAGCAGCCCAGGACTTCCAGAAACGTGGCCCAGTCTTGCACCCCAGGGGAAGTCATGGAGGAGGTGCATTTCCTGTTTGCACCTTTGCTCTCTTCTGCCCTTCGCATCTATCGTTTCTTTCCCCCTCTTTAAATTGTGTGTGCATGCAGAAGCACAAACGGCTCAAGAACACACAAGGAAGTTTTATTATGATGACCGCACTAAAGCGCAACCGTACATAAAAACGACAAACTTTTCTTGCAAGGGCGGCCAACCGCTGCCGTTTTATCTTAGCTTTGCAATACAGCAGCTGGCAACTGCAGCCGTGGGCAGCGAGGGTTTGCAGGTGGGCTGCCGTACATAAGCCGGGAGAAAACCCCTATTGTAATCGAGTTCTCAGGTCGTGATTCTGCCTGGTTTGCTACTACATAAAATAAAAATGAAAAAACAGGTAACTATCGCACAGATAATATTTGGTGCATTTGCACTTGCCTTTACAGGTAAGAACAAAAAGGGGGTTCTGCTCTGCTGGGATTCTTTGCATAGGCCCACCAGAGCTGCACCCCGAATGTGTAGTGCAGACAGAGATGGCAGGATGGAGGAAAACAGCTCCATTTGTAGAGCCGCTATTTTAATTACTACATTTCCATATGATTGCATTACGGGACACAGCGTGGAAGCAGCTAAATAAGACAGTACCCATCACCATTGCTTTATAAAAGATTGGAAGCACGTAAAACCGATCTCTTTCAAAGCAAGCATCAATCAGCTGAATTTACATTTCAATTGCACACAAACACACACACACACACACACACGAACACCTCAATACACCCTGACCCTAATTTTAGAACGGGAAAGACTATGGTAAATGTTGAAAGACTACAGCTCCAATGATCATTGGCCACGCTGACCAGGGCGAAGTCTGGCAACATCAGGAGGACCATAAAAGATTGCTGTGAGGCTACAGTGTAAGATGGTGGATTAATCTAGCAAAAAGTGGTGGTTCTAACAGCTTGATGCCTCCTAAAGACAGTTCTAGATCTCTGATCCAGAACATCAGGTTATCCACTTGTACGACCTCCTTTGGGGCAGGAATTAGTAGCATCACACATACCTAACGTCTGCTATTTGTTTATCAGTGTGGTCTTTTTTTTCCTTTTCTCTGTCCACCTGAGGAAGAGGTAGAACCATAGAATCATAGAGTTTTGGAAGGGACCCCAAGGATCATCTAGTCCAACCCCCTGCAATGCCGGACCTTTTGCCCAATGTGGGGCTTGAACCCCCAACCCTGAGATTAAGAGCCTCAAGCTGTATCCCAGCAGACTCAGAAACGTACTGACTTTCCATGGCTCCCAATAAACATATCACACTACTGCTTCTGCCACCAGTTCAGGCCATTTTGCTCGTCGACGGGTTAGAAGGAAACGCCATAGATTGCTGAGGACAGAAAGCTTAGCCGGGAATCAAATACGGTGCTGCATTTGGAGAGAGGCTGTCTCAGTTTTGCACCCACCCTCTTTTCTTTTTCTACAACACAGGATACCTTCACAGTATGAAACTTTTTCAAAGCGGCCCATCTCAGTTTCTCAGTCCATGCTGCCTTGCTCAGTTTAGGCCTGGCAAGGGTTCTGTCTTTCGGCGCAATGTGTCTCGAGTCACTAGAACCACATCTGTTGGAGGGAGGAGTCAGCCTGGGGACTCAGGCATTGCATGGGGAAGGAAGTGTGCGCCCCCAGCAAGGACGGCCCACCGAGAGCAGGAGGGAGAGCCGAGCGCTGGTCTTCCATCCGGGTGCCTTGGGCTTTGAGCAGCAGATCCAGTAGGCCCTGAATTCCAACTGGGATGGGAGGCTCGGTGCGCTGGTCTTCAAGACGCTGGCTCTGTAAGGAAAAGAGGAGATGCTGAGCTCTGCTAGCCGACTGAGAGGCAGCGTGGCGTAATGGTTAGTGTCGGACTAGGACTTAGGAAAGCAGAGTTCAAATCCTCACCCAGCCATGAAGCTCGCTGGGCCAGCCGCCATCTCCTAGCCTAATCCATCTCACAAGGTTATTGTGAGGATGAAATGAGGATTGTCCTAAGACAGCTACATCATTTCCAATGTTTAGGGTTTGAGTGCCATAATTTAGAAAGCCAAAACAGCACCACATGCACAAATGGGAGGTATTAGCAAACTTGAGGAAACACCAAGACTTGCAGAAGAACAGGGGAAAATGTATTTGGAGGGGGGGAACACCCTAATGTTTGGGGGAATCTCGGAAACAGTCCATGAGGACTAGGGATATAGGAAGTTAGCAAGGTCCTTTCCAAGTCGTGTTTGTTGCAATCGGCAGTGCTGCAGTTCAGCTGCAGTTCAGCTTCTGTTAAAAATTATGTCAGTTACTTTGCTGTGGCTGAATGTAATGTACCGTAATTAATCACATTGTCATTGTGTGATTCCATCCCATTTGCTGCAGTGCAAAGAAAATGTCAGAACGGGGGGGGGGGGACCGGACGGACGGACGGACGACGACCTATTACAAATACCAGTCGTATTAATTTGCCTGAGGCCTTGGTTCCTGACGAGCATGGAAACTGAGGCAGTTTCCGCTTCTTTGTCTGCTTGGAGCAGAATTTGCTGCCGTCCTTAAGGAGGACTAAGCATGCTCAGTAGCCACAAGATGCTGACTGACTGCTGGGGCGGGGAGGGGGGATTGCAATCCTGAGTAGAAGCACTCCATGCTGCAACATTTTGTTGCAGATCCCGCTGTAGTTGGATTTCAGGATAGGTAATGTTAACCATTCTGGGAACGTCAGATGGAAGGGAAGTATCAACATTTTTGTCGTTGTCATCAACATCAAGAGCACAAACCACTAGCACCAACGTCCACTCAGACCTTCTGTGGAGACCTCATCGCTCACCTGATGAGCCAAGATAGTGTCGTAGAGCTTCTCTTCAGAGACCCTCGAGTTGCCCGCACACATTTCCGCAGCCTCCTCAAAATCAGCCCGCTGGTCATCAAGCCTCCGGGCCTGGAATTTGGCCACCATGTCAAAAAACTCCTCCGCTTGGAGAGAGGTCAGCGAAGAGAAGAAGACTGGGAGAAGAGAGGAAAGAGAACAAATTGTGTAGCAGAACGGCCATACGCAGAGGGCAGAAGGATAACACGGAATCCTGGGTGTCAAAGCTACAGATCCTCCAGCATCACCCAATCAAAACATTAATTGGTTTGAAGTTAGCCCTCATGACTGTCAACCAAAGTTTGGAAGTGCTGAGGTTGCACATCTGTTAAAACCTCCAAGCGTATGTCAGTGGTGGAATATTGGTGGCCTTCCAGAGGTTGTTTGGCCAGGTGGAGAGGCCCCAGGGCTCACAATATGAGGTCCCCACCTGTGCTCCAGAACGGTTCTCCCTACCCAAATTTGTGTTGTGTGTACAAGTTAGCATGCACAAGTCTGTGCCACATGAGCCTGTGCTCTGAGACTTCAAAGTACCTACCCACACCCCTGGAAAACTGTTGGTGGAAGCCAAAAGCCCCCCCCCCAAGAACCACTTGGAGTAAGAGGATCCTAGGGAGTTAGGCTTTCGGCAACCACCCCTTCAGTTTCCCTGCATCACTTCTTCAAATAATAATAATAATAACTTATTATTTATACCCCACCAATCTGGCTGGGTTTCCCCAGCCACTCTGGGCAGCTCCCAACAGAATTAGAAGCACGATAAAGCATCAAACATTAAAAACTTTCCTAAACAGGGTTGCCTTCAGATGTCTTCTAAAAGTCAGATAGTTGTTTATTTCCTTGACATCTGAAGGGAGGGCGTTCCACAAGGCGGGCACCACTACCAAGAAGGCCCTCTTTCTGGTTCGCTATAGCCTCACTTCTCGCAGTGAAGGAACCGCCAGAAGGCCCTCGGAGCTAGACCTCAATGTCCGGGCTGAATGATGGGGGTATACTGGGGGTATACTGGGCCGTGGCCGTTTAGGGCTTTAAAGGTCAGCACCAGCACTTTGAATTGTGCTTGGAAACGTACTGGGGGCCAATGTAAGTCTTTCAAAGGAAGGATATGCCCGGAAATCTTTGGAGAAGGCTGCAACATTCTAGTCCAATAAATATTGTTATAAGTTTTCTTTTGGCGGGGAAGGTTAAACCCCCAAAATTAATAAATGGTAGTATTTTGGTTATTTGAGATGTGAAGAGAGAAATACAAGCTGCAGAGGGATTCCTGGGCTAGCCTGAGGTGTGAGCAGAGACTGGGGATTTGGAGGGTTGCCAGTTGTGAGAGGAAAGAGTGTCTTTAACAAGGTGTGTTGGGAAGAGGAAGGGAGAACAAAGACAAGAGATCCATTTTGGGCAGATGCCCTTGACTCCAGGGCTGTGGGAAAGACACCCCTCTTGAAAGGAACATGCTGTAAGATCTGGACTCTCTCCCTCCAAACTCAGATATAAATATGGGAATAAGCCATATTTCTGAAAGCTACAACCGTCTCCGCCATGCCTTCAATTCTCCAAAGGAGCAGAGGCCCTGTTTGAGGGCCAAGACCCCAGGAATCCCGAAGGGATAAGACCCCAAATACACCAAATGCAAATACACCAAATGCCTATTAGCACTGTTATAAGAATTCTAAGGTCTCGAATGTAAATTAAATGTTCCTAAATGTACAAGGCAAATACATACATAACCCACATGTCTGAAATAGTACAGGAGAGCAATCCTGAAGCCATTTTGATTCTCCCAAATTGACCTCAAATGTTTCCCTGCAAGGAGGAAGGAAATGGGAACCCCCCCCATTGTCTTTTGCTTACAAATACTGTCTTAAAGGGCGTATTTGTGCATGAATAGGGTGAGCCTGTGACCTGGAGTCAGGAACTAAAGTATTAACCATCACAAAAGAATGGCCAGACTGCCCAGGTAATGCAGTCAGTGACTATTATCAGGTACCCTGGCAGACAGGATTTCTGCTGTAGACTGCCTCCTCCTGTGATGGGTGTATGATGTTTCAGGGGGTGGTGGTCTTGGGCTACAGGGTGGGCAATTTCAAGAGTCTATATAAGGGCTTGCGCACCATTGTTCTGGGTGCTCCTCCCTCCTGCGTGTGGTGAGTGGGGCCCCTGTTGCAACAGTTTAATAAAGATCATGCTTACTAGCTGCTTTGCTTCTCAATATACTCTGGTTGGCCTCTGTTAATTTCTCCTACCAAAAGGGAAACCACTTAAGGACTCCAGAATGGGCTCCAGAATACGCCATAAGGGAAAAGGAGCAGGTTTTGTCTTATAACAGCACGGATATAAAACATGGATGAATATACTGTCGGTTGTTGTTTTTAAAAGCATTCAAATTAAAACAAAACCTGAAAACTTACAGGGGTTGCTCTTAGGTTTAGCTTGCTCAAGGTGAGTTGCACCAGCCCTGAGCCAAGCAAATGCCTCCGGCGTCTGACTTCCTCATAATCAACAGAAACTTCTGCAAACTCCTGTCAAGCGCAGTGTACTTTAGCACCTACACACTGGGAGCATCCGGGACAAGAACAAATAGCGTCTCTTTCTTTCTTTTTGAAGTTCAGAAGCTTTTTGCCTATTTCTAAATAAATACCTTCCTTAAAGAAATGAGCAGTTCATGCAAAACGGCTAGATTTTGCAGACGGGTTTCTGCAGCCTTTCTGAAAAAGTTGAGCCTAATGGAAAAAGTAATTCCAGCCCCCTTCAGCTTAATGATTGATGCAGGGGTTTTTTGTTTGTTTCATGAGAAGTACAGGAAGTATAATCTCGACGGAATGAATAAGGCAAAAGGTTTACAGGATTTTGTTTGCGATAATTAGGAAGTCAGAAAATAGACGCAGCTCATTTTGTCAAACATTTGGTTTCAATCTTGCGCTATACACAGACACTAAAAATAGCCTAAGGGCAGGATCAGGCCAAAATTGTTTTGTTTTGTTTTATAATCCTTTCCTCCTAGGGTTTTGGGGCCATGTACAACGGCATCTCCCCCGCTCTTCCTCCCTCCCCCACTTTATCCGCACAAAAAGCCCTGCAAAGCAGGCCAGTCTGAAAGATGGTGACTGGCCCAGGGTCACCCGCTGAGTTTTGGGGGCGACTGGGAATGTGAACATGAGTCTCACTGCTACAGGGAACCAGACAGAGGGCCTTCTCGGTAGTGGCACCCGCCCTGTGGAACGCCCTCCTGTCAGATGTCAAAGAGATAAATAATTACCTGACATTCAGAAGACATCTTAAGGCAGCCCTGTTCAGGGAAGTTTTTAATATGTAATGCTGTACTGTTTTTAACACTGATTGGGAGCCGCCCAGAGTGGCTGGGGAAACTCAGCCAGATGGGCGGGGTATAAATAATAAATTATTATGATTATTATTATCACTGGTGCTACGGTGATACCACTCCATGCACCGTACACTTAAAGCACGCACAAAACACATTACTTTCCCCAAAGAATCCTAGGAACTGTAATGTGTTAAGGGTGCTGGGAACCGTAACTGTGTGAGGATTCTTTGGGAGAAATAATGTGCTTTAAAGGTAAAGGGACCCCTGACCATTAGGCCCAGTCGTGACCGACTCCGGGGTTGCGGCGCTCATCTCGCTTTACTGGCCGAGGGAGCCGGCGTACAGATTCTGGGTCATGTGGCCAGCATGACTAAGCCGCTTCTGGCGAACCAGAGCAGCGCACGGAAACGCCGTTTACCTTCCCGCCAAAGCAGTACCTATTTATCTACTTGCACTTTTGACGTGCTTTCAAACTGCTAGGTTGGCAAAAGCAGGGACTGAGCAACGGGAGCTCACCCCGTCATGGGGATTCGAACCGCCGACCTTCTGATCGGCAAGCCCTAGGCTCTGTGGTTTAACCGACAGCGCCACCTGCGTCCCTTTTTAATGTGCTTTAAATAAAAGTTAAAGCAACTTTTAAGTTAAAGCACCTGTGGTAATGCAGGCGTCTCCAGCTTAAACGCACAGGAACTGGTCTGCTAAAATAAAGTTGCTAACCCTGTGGGATTTGACATCTTTCCGCAGGGCCTGCAAGACGGAGCTGTTCCGCCAGGACTTTGGTCGGGGTTCAGTCTGATTCTTTTCTTTCTGTATAAGAACAAGCATTAAAGAGGCCTCCTCGCCCGCTCACAGGTCCTTTATAAGACCAGTGGTAACAGTTGGCCCTGGAGAATATTAACCACTCTCAATTTTACCCGTGGACTGCCATCTGTCCAGATTTTAATTTGCTCTGAACTAATTTTAAAATGTATTTTAAGTAATTAATTGCCTGTTTTTCTGTTCTTATGTTCTTTGTATACTGTCTTAGTTTCATGATGTTAGCCACCCTGAGGGCGGGGTACAAATAAAAAGTTATTTATTATTTATTTATTTGGGAAAGGAGGTCTCCTACACACCATAGATGTGCAGAAGCACATGCCTTCTGCCAAAGAATACTGGGAGCTGCAATCTGTCAGGCATACTAATTATTGTAGCTCTGCAAAGGGAAAGTTCCTTTGTGATTCAAATGTGTTTGCTATGCATGGTGTGGATTTGACCAGCGATAGCAGGCTGGCATTCTCATCTTACCCGCCTGATCTTTCTCCATCTCCCCCGTAGGGGTGGCTGGCAGGGACCTCCAGGGCCGCGCAGGATCCGTCTGCCGTGATCTCTGCTTTGGACGCAAAAGAGGACCCGGGTTTGGCAGGAGACTGAGGTCGTTTTGAGAGGAGGCCTGGATCTGCTGTGGAGCAGGAAGCAAGGTTGAAAGTAAGTCTCTAACCTTCCTAGCAAGAAGGTTATGGGGTGCAATGAGTGAGTGCCTTCCAACAATTTCTCTGAAATTAGAGTGAGGGTGGATCTACACACAGGACAAAAATGCTGTAAATGTCAGTAATCGTTATAAGAAAAGAAAAGAAAACTCTATGGAAAAGCGCAAAGAATTTTTTTGCTCTCCAGCGCCATCTGGTGTTGCATGTTTATAACACATTCAAAACGCTGTTTTTTGACTAAGGTAGCTGAGTCCTGAGTGTGGTGTGGCCATAGCTGTCAACTTACAGATTTGAAAATAAGGGACCAGCAGCCTTGAAAATAAGGGATCAGCAGCCAAAATAAGGGATTTTCCAGGCACAGGTATGTTCAACTTCTGATCCCCTCCAAGCCAAAGGCAGAAAGCCCAGCCAGCAGCCAAACGAAGCCTCAAGCAGTGGTTCCCACAGTGCAGCAGCCCGGCAAAGGGGATGCAGCAAGGAAAACCACCGTCACCTCTCTGCTGGGAAGCGCTGAGCAAAGGCGAGTCCCTAGGCAACGCGGCCAATTTGATTGGTACAAGGCATGCAAGCTCCACCCCCAGTTGTTCTTAGACTCCTTATTGGGTGAGCAACACAGCCAAGCAACACAGTTGGAGCCTCCCTCCTCCCTGGCCGGCAGGGAGGGAGGGAGGGAGGGAGAGGAGCTGCTTCCTTTGAAATTTAAGGGACATCATTTAAGGGACATCATCAATAAGGGACAGCAGCAGGACACGGCACTGGGATAAGGGACTTTCCCGCCAAATAAGGGACGGTTGACAGCTATGGGTGTGGCCGCCTTGACCAATCATAGACAGGAACAGCTAGGAGCTGGGTGGAATCACAGATCTGTAAAAAAGTGTGGATTTGCACACACTGGCCAGTTTCTCTTGACTTGAATTGTTCTTTTGGGGCTTCTCAGAAGTACGTAAAGGCACAAAGTGGGCAGGGAGAACGCCGGCCCCGAATGATGCCCACCTGATAGGTGCCGGAACTGTGCTCTGGCTGGGGAAAAAAACCACTGGATGTAGACATTGTGTTTTGCTCAACCAGCAGACCCTCTGGCTGCCAGCCCTCACTGGCAACCCCTTTTCATTTGTGCTCCTGCATACCTCTTGGGGCTCGGCCTAGCATGCTAATACGGCCCTCTTGTTTCCTAGCTGTCCCATTTTGCCTTCGATTCTGTTGGCACTCAGCCTCCCAAATTTGTTTTTAGAGAGAATGATCACGGTGGCTGCCATTTTCTGTGGTGCACGTGCAGTTTAAGAAGAGCCCGGCTAGATCAGGCCAATGACTTATCTGGTTCTCACATTTAAGTTCGAGCATGTGATACCTCTGGCTGGTGGGAACTGTAGTTCAGCAGCACCCGGAAGGCCAAAGGTGCTGCTTGGCCCTTATTCCTCTGAGAGGTACATCCAGCCCCTTACCTGTTCCTCTGTGGCTGTTGCACTGACATCCAGTCGCATCTCTTCTTCCACTATCACATCCATTTCCTCCATCCTTCTTTCGGTTCACTCTCTGCCTGCTGGCCGAAGACTCTTGTGGCCGAATACGCAGAGAAATCGCTTTCCCCCTTGTTCTGAGCAACAGAGAAGAAAGGAGATTAGCAGATTCCTTGTGCCCCAAAAGTCTCATCCCAGAATGTAGCAGTTCCTGCTTTCGAAAGAATGGTAGGGTGTTTGGAGAAGAAAATAGTATGCTCCAGCTAAATCTCTAGTCTCTGAGCCCTGTCAATTCATAAGAACCGAAGAAAATAGCTCATAAAAAGGTAAAGATAAAGGGACCCCTGACCATTAGGTCCAGTCGTGGCCGACTCTGGCACTCATCTCACTTTATTGGCTGAGGGAGCCGGCGTACAGCTTCCAGGTCATGTGGCCAGCATGACTAAGCCGCTTCTGGCAAACCAGAGCAGCGCACGGAAACGCCATTTACCTTCCCGCCAGAGCGGTACCTATTTATCTACTTGCACTTTGACGTGCTTTCGAGCTGCTAGGTTGGCAGGAGCAGGGACCAAGCAACGGGAGCTCACCCTGTCGCGGGGATTCAAACTGCCGACTTTCTGACCGGCAAGTCCTAGGCTCTGTGGTTTAACCCACAGCGCCACCCGCGTCCCACAAAATAGCTCATGAGAAAGAATAAAAAAACAAGCATCAGGAAAGGAAGGGTGGGAAGAAGAAACTTTGTATGTTTTTTTAAAAAATTATATGATGATAAATGCTTTGAAATATTGTTGGAGACAGTCATATATATATATATATATATATATATATATATATGAAGAAGATAGCTCAGTTGGTATCAGCATGGTGCTGATAATATCAAGATTGCAAGTTCAATCTGTGTATGGAACAGTGGCATATTTCTACATTGCAGGGGGCTGTATCAGATGATGCTCAGGGTTCCTTCCAACTCTACAAAGCATTGCTGGATCAGGCCAGCGGCCCACCTCGTCCAGTATCCTGTTCTCACAGTGGCCGACCGGGGGCCTTTGGGCGGAACCCACAAGGAAGACCTGAGCACAAGAGCTCTCTCCTCTTCTGCAATTTCCAGCAACTGGTATTCAGAAACATTGCTGAGTGCCACCGAATGCATTAACTGAACCCAGTTAATTCATCATCTGCGGCCATCAACATGCACAACATTTTTATATGTTGGCATAAACACCCTCTTTTTTATTGCATTTCCCCCCAAACAATAGCTCCTTGATCTGAAGAGTTTAAAGCTAAATTTGGACAGCTGGGAGACAATAGAAGGAAGGGGAGGGTCGCAGCGGAAGCTGGGCCGTGAGGGCAAGCAGGGCAGTGCCCACCAAGGGCTTCTTGCCCTTGGCCAGCCTGCCCCTGCCTGCCTTCTGACCACCAGGCTGAGGTGTGGCTCGGCCTGCCAGATTCCTCTTCCTCCTCCTCAGATTCCTTAGTGTTTTCCCTTGTAGAACTCAGCAGGCAAGAGGACAGTGATAGCTCAGTGGGCCAGGCACAAGACTCTCCCAACTCTGCAATTCTGTGATTCTTTGAAACCAGAGTAAGTTGGTGCCACCTATTTCTTGCTCGGCCTGCCATTGGCTACACTTATTGTCCATCTCATCGTGTTCCACACCATCAGTCCCATGCGCACCAGGTTCCTCTGGGAAAGGCTGCAAAAGAATTAAAGTAGGGGGGCCAACTGACCTGGGAAATGTGGCCTTGCCTGCTCCTGTGCCTTATAGCGGTAGTTTGCTGTGAAGGTCAACAGCTTCAGAGGTTGGGTTTTATTTTAAAAAGTGTTGGCTTTTGGCGAATTTCCTTAGCTCAGAAACTTTCCTCTTTTTTTTTTGAGAATGTGTAAAGAAAGCTCAGCAACTTTGCCAAATTAAAAGCTCAAAAAGCGTTTGTATCTGGATTTTCACTTTTTTAAATATGGCAACCCTCAGTTAAATCACTTCCATGCGTGCACAATAAAAATAAAAAAACGCTCACAAAACATCAAAGAGAGCAAAATATTGTTATGGGTTTGGGAGGGGGGCGCTAGATGCCCCTAAATGTGTAATGATGTAGTAAAAGTTAAAATGAATCAAGGCTTGGTTAAACTTTGCAGAACATGGAAATCGACAGGATTTAGTTACACTTATGAGCCAAGCCATCTGGGCAGAGCTAGCTGGATCGGCCATCAGCAGGGGACAAAGGCCGTTTACCTTCCTGCCAGAGTGGTACCTATTTATCTACTTGCACTTTGACGTGCTTTTGAACTGCTAGGTTGGCAGGAGCAGGGACCAAGCAACGGGAGCACATCCCGTCGCGGGGATTCGAACCACCGACCTTCTGATCAGCGAGTCCTGGGCTCTGTGGTTTAACCTACAGCACCACCCGCGTCCCTCAGGTTGTTTATATGTGTCAATAAAACTATATATCATAATGAAGACACCACAGTCTCTGCTGTGCCTCATGCCCCAAAGGAACAAGAAACCCTGGAGCCGTGGGAATATCACCCTCTCATGGAGACTGGGGTGACGTGTCACAATATCAAAACAAAGCATGCTAGATTAAGATCCAATAGAAAAGACAACAAAGATGGGCACCGAAAGCTGCAAAAATGAAGTCCAATTTAGGGTTGCCAACTCCCCCCCTTGCTGCGCTCCTGCGCCTTTTAAGAACTGCATGACGAGCAGAACCTGGTGTGTAAATGCATAGGCGGGAATAAGCTTCCCCTTTTGAATTTCTGCCTGCCACGCAGCTCTTCGGGGCACAGGAGCCTTGGCTGGGAAAGCCAGGTGGCGCCACCCCTCCCTTCCTCCTCATTCTGCTACGGCACCTCTCCTTTCCAGCTACGTCTCCCCTCCATGGGGCAAGGGGTGGGGTGTCACTGCCCTCAGCCTGCCCCTACCTTGACTGCTCTCTCACTTGCATCTGGCCCAGAGGGTGGCCCTGGCTGTCAGCTGCCTGCTCCTCTGTGGCCTCAATGCTCCTTGTACAACTTGGCAGGGACGAGGATAGGGACCAAAGGAGCAGGAGATGCTTCTGGTCCTGCCTGTCACTGGCTCTCCCTCTTGCCCCATAAGTCGCCACCCCCCCACACACCAGACTAGACTTCTCCCCTCCCTGTGGTCAGGCAAAACATGTCAAGTCATGGGCCCGCAGCGGGGAGGGGAGGTTGTTGTTTTCAGTTTCTTCTCCAAATTCTGGGCTGAGTCACAGAGCTTGGTCTGTGTCACAGGACTAATCGCACACAGGCTCAGCTCCCTAACCTAGGTGGCCGGCTGAAAAAGAGAAGAGGGCCCCACAGTCGTTTTGAAAGGGGAATTTCAAACCCGGCATGGCGAGTTACTACACCTGCGGAGAAATTCCGCTTTCCACCCAAGTCTAAAAGTTGCCACGAGCACCGTTTTCTTTATCGAACCCTCCCCAAAGTTTCCTTTTTAAAAAATACCAAGGACATAGCTGTGGAAACACAAGGCATAATGGTAAAGAAAAGAGGGTTTCTGGGAATGTGCAAAGTTCACGTCCCCGTTGGTGCCTTTCAGGCCCTCCTACCTGCTCCCCGCACCCCAACCCTGCAATCTGTTTCTCTAAAGAAGTGTTTGTGTGTGGCTGAGGGGTGTAAAGTACAATTGAGTCCTGCAACAAAATGTTGCAGTGTGGAGAGCTCATATTCAGAGTTCCAACAACATATAAAAACACCCAAAACATCGGACATTAAAAACTTCCCAATACAGAGTTGCCTTCAGATGTCTGCTAAAAATCAGGTAGTTGTTTATTTCCTTGACATCTGGTAGGAGCGTGTTCCACAGGGCAGGAGCCACTACCGAGAAGGCCCTCTGTCTGGTTCCCTGTGTAACCTCACTTCTTGCAGTGAGGGAACCGCCAGAAGACCCTTGGAGATGGACCTCAGTGTCCAGGCTAAACGTTGGGGTTTGAGATGCTCCTTAAGGTACAGTGGTACCTCGCAAGACGAATGCCTCGCAAGACGAAAAACGCGCAAGACGAAAGAGTTTTCCGTTTTTTGAGTTGTTCCGCAAGACGAATTTCCCTATGGGCTTGCTTCGCAAGACGAAACGTCTTGCAAGTTCTTGCGAGTTTGTTTCCTTTTTCTTAAAGCCGCTAAGCTGTTAATAGCCGCTAAGCCGCTAATAGCCGTGCTTCGCAAGACGAAAAAACCGCAAGACGAAGAGACTCGCGGAACGGATTAATTTCGTCTTGCGAGGCACCACTGTACTCACTTCTGTCTTCCCACCCCCCATCATTGTTTTTTTGTCCCTGCCCCCCCCTACATGTACACACACACAAAGGCCACTTTTACACCACTTGAACATTCCTGGAAATCGTAGTTTGTTAAAAGTGCCGAGAAAGTTGTTACAAGACCATTTTCCCCTTCACGGAGCTACAATTCCCAGAGCGCTTTAGCAATCAATCCCTCTTCCCAGAGAATTTCTGAGTATTGTAGCTCTGTGAGGGGAATGGGGGCGTTCCAACAACTCTCTCAGTACCTTTAACAAACTACAGTTCCCAGGCTCCTTTGGGGGAAGCCATGACTGCTTAAAGTGGTGTAATACTGATTTAATGGTAAGCCGCAGGTGTGGCCTTAATCTGCATTGCATGCCCACTAAATCACCAGACTGTTGGTGGGGGGTCTCCCCTTAAGAGTTTTTCCCTCTAAAGATCTGGTCCACTTCTTTCTGCAAACCTCGGGGTTTTCCCCAAACCTGCTGATACTTCCCTTCAGTGTGTGAACTGTGCCGTTTTAAAGATACATGCCTTGCGTTCAAAAGGCCTCAGGGTTAATCTGTGGCACGTCCAGGTAGGACTCGCAAAAGACTCCTGCCATAAATCCAGCTGCTAGCCGGGGTATACTGAGCTCCATGAGCCAATGATCTGACTTAGTATAATGAAAGGCACTTTTCTATGGCCTGCAGCAAAATGTTGCAGCGCACTTCTGCAGCCTAAAATGATTGTGGCAGTCCAACAACATCCTGAGGACCACAGGTTCCCCTTCCCTAGTGTAAACACGACCAAGCTAGAGGGACCAAAGAGGTCTAACTCGGTATACGGCAGTTTCCGAGGTTCCTATGTCCGCACATCAAATTCTTTCAGAAGTGGCGCTTGCCAGAGAGAAAAGTCTGTCGGCACATGCTCCCATACCCTCCAACATTTCTCTGATGAAAATAGGCACGTCCCATTCCACAATGATCATTTTACTATAAATACCCCACACATCTTATTGGGTTGCCCCAGCGACTCTGGGCGGCTTCCAACACAAATAAAAACATAATAAAACATTAAACATTAAAAGAAAACATCCCTATACAGGATTGCCTTCAGACGGCTTGGGGTTTGGATAACTCCATACCCTCCAACATTTCTCCAATGAAAATAAAGACATCCTAAGGAAAAGTGGGGACATGGGTGGCGCTGTGGGTTAAACCACTGAGCCTAGGGCTTGTCGATCAGAAGGTCGGTGGTTCAGATCCCCACGATGGGGTGAGCTCCCGTTCCTCGGTCCCTGCTCCCGCCAACCTAGCAGTTCAAAAGCATGCCAAAAGTGCAAGTAGATAAATAGGTACTGCTCTGGCGGGAAGGTAAACGGCGTTTCCGTGCGCTGCTCTGGTTCACCTGAAGCGGCTTAGTCATGCTGGCCACATGATCCGGAAGCTGTACGCCGGCTCCCTCGGCCAATAAAGTGAGATGAGCACCACAACCCCAGAGTCGGCCACGACTGGACCTAATGGGCAGGGGTCCCCTTACCTTTCCCTTTAAGGGAAAGTGGGACATTCTAGGATCAAATCAGAAACTGGGACAGCTTCTCTAAATCAGGGACGTCCCTGAAAAATAGGGTCTGTGCTCAAGAGTTAGTTTGGCCCTTAGCAACAACGCCAAGAAGGTCCTTTGGGAGAAGGAGGGAGAAATATTTTGCAGCCTCAAGGGGATATTCAGATCAGACTGCCAGGATTTCTCAATTCTAAACATGGCCAATCCTCATTCTCCAAAGGGCTTCCTCACACATGACACATTTCCTACCCAGAGAGGACACTCCCTGAAGGCCAAACTAGACCCAGCTGGTGTTGACGTGGTTTGCCCCTTGCTGCTGCTGCTGCTGTTGTTTTTTAACAAACGACCAATGGGCAGGCAATAGCGGGGGAACTGATTGCATTTCTTTATTTACTGCACTGCCAAGCCAAACATTAGAATGAACAGATGCTGCAGAACATTCCCAGGGCAACTTCAGTGCAGGGCTGCATTCAATTAGCAGAAGCCAATGCTGGTGCAATGGGGGTTCCTGCCCCCTCTCTGACCCTGTGCACCCCCTGCCCCCCAAATTGGCTCAGGGTAGATGGTTCCAGCTAGCAAGCTTGCGCTGATGGGACAAGCTTAATGCTATAATGAATTCCTCCCCCTGGCCAGGGCTTCTGCCTTCCCTCAGGGCAGACAGGTCCTTAAGAAGCCCCAAGGAAGATGGGGAGGGGGGGTACAGGAGAGAGGCTGCCCCACATTTCTTTCAGGCCCTTCACAGTCCCCTCAGAGGCCGGTGAAACAGAGCATCCAGGCTTCCCTCAGGGCTTCTCCTCCCATGGCAAATCAGCAGATGTAAGGAGGAGGCCCAATTCATAGAATCATAAAATTGTTGAGTTGGAAGGGACCCCGAGGGTCATCTAGTCCAACCCCCTGCAGTGCAGGAATCTCAGTGAAAACATCCATGACAGATGGCCATCTAACCTCTGCTTAAAAACCTCCAAAGAAGGAGAGTCCACCACCTTCTGAGGGGAGTCCTGTTCACTGTCAAACAGATCTTGCTGTCAGAAAGTTTTTCCTGATGTTTAGTCAGAATCTCCTTCCTCGTAACTTGAAGCCATTGGATCCGGATTCGGATCAGGACCGGGTCACGGGCAACAACGTTACACGGTCAAGTTTAGTTTTGGCCCATGGCATGTGTATACACACGACCTACAAGAGGGTATTATGCTTATTTCTTTAGGTGGTTTATATGCCCCTTACTTGCACAGCAGATTAGAATCCGTGAAAACCCATTAAAATAGTAGTCCATAAAACCACGCGCACCGCATTGCCAAGCCAGCGTCTCCTATCCCACCCCATTCTGCCTAGCTGTGTAAACAACAGGCAAAACCGCACAAGGCCCATCTGTGCGAACCATGCCAGATGCGGCCCTGCGGAAACGCAACCGGACCCACACCTGCAGCAGACTGCCGCACATGTGGGAATTTACACCTGGTGAAGCCGCCTTCAGCTGAGACGGGCCGTTGCCAGGTCTCCAACCGGCCAAGCGTCGTCTCCTCTGACCAGCAGCAGCTCTCAAGGGGCAGCAAACATGTTGGCCCTCCAGATGTTGCTGGCACCCAGCTCGCATCCTCCCTGCTCATCGGCCGTGCTGGCTGGGGCTGATGGAAGTTGGAGAACCCAACAACGACTGGAAGGCGGCTCCACATTGGCTATCCTCAGAGGCAAACACAGCTGTCCTCTCTGTGGTCCTCTTCTCAGGAGATGCCACTTCCCAGCACGGAAGTGACTTGCGCGCCGGAAACCTGTAACTTACGAAGCAACTTTCTAGGGCTCTTTTTGTGCTGGCAATTGTCCTCTGCTGTGCTCACCTTTTTTTGGGGGGGGGGGTGTCGGTGTGGTCCCCCCCTCAGATTTATTCCCGCTGTTGCTGACAGTTCCACGTCCCCATCTTCCTTCCTTCCTTCCTTTTCCCCTTGCTTTTGCCCCAGTTGTTTAGTTCTGGCTGTTGTCTTCTCTCCTTCCTCCTTGTGCCTGGACTGTCGCTCGGCTCAGCTGTGGCTACGCCCCTATTTCTACACGGGAAGCCACTACTTCCTGCCTCCGCTGCTCATGCATTTGCTGCTCACTCGCTTTCGCCTCAGCTCCCTTCCCCACAAACCCCCTTCCTTTTATCTCCCCACCCACTCCTTGCGGCTGAGGAAGGAGGCAGGTGTACAGAGGCCTTGCCCTTTACTCAATCAGCCTTCGCTTCCTTCTCAAGAGACGGCAAGACCTGCTGGGAAAGCCCCTTTGCCCAGGAGCCTAGCTCTTTGCTCAGGGTCCCTCTGCAAAGCAACACTCCATCTCAGAATCCTGGAGACATTGAATTGTAGAGTTAGGGCCTGAGGATCATCTAGTCCAACCCACTTGCAAAACAGAGATATGCAGCTGTCCTGTACGGGGATCGAACCTGCAGCCTCGGTATTATCAGTACCATGCTGTGTTTTCCAGCGATAGTCCCAGATTTAGAGAAGCCGTCCTGGTTTTTTATTTGATCCCTTCATGTCCCACTTTTCCTTAAGACATCCCTATTTTCATCGGGGGAAATGTTGGCGGGTATGGAGTTATGCAGCCCTTGAGCCAGCCTTTAGAAGACACCTGAAGGCAGCCCTGTATAGGGAAGTTTTTTTAATGTTTAATGTTTTATTATGTTTTTATTTATGTTGGAAGCTACCCAGAGTGGCTCATCAATCCAGTCAGATGGGCAGGGTAATAGTAGTAGTAGTAAGGTAAAGGTAAAGGGACCCCCGACCATTAGGTCCAGTCGTGACCGACTCTGGGGTTGCGGCGCTCATCTCGCTTTATTGGCCGAGGGAGCCAGTGTACAGCTTCCGGGTCATGTGGCCAGCATGACTAAGCCGCTTCTGGCGAACCAGAGCAGCGCACGGAAACACCGTTTACCTTCCCCCCGGAGCGGTACCTATTTATCTACTTGCAGTTTAATGTGCTTTCGAACTGCTAAGTTGGCAGGAGCAGGGACCGAGCAACGGGAGCTCACCCCATCGTGGGGATTCGAACCGCCAACCTTCTGATTGGCAAGTCCTAGGCTCTGTGGTTTAACTCAGTGTTTCCCAACCGGTGTTCCGCGGCACACTAGTGTGCCGCGAGACGTTGCCTGGTGTGCCGCGAGATGTTGCCTGGAGGGAGGCGGGCGAGTCGGGCGGCGAGAGGCGGGGCGGCGGCGGCGAGGAGAGGCCGCCCAGCGCGGGGCTCTCGCCGTCTGCCTGCCTGGCTGCCTGCGAGCTCGGCGGGCAGCGCCTCCATCCGCAGCGCCCGCCTCGCGGCTCTCATTCCCCAGTGGCGTAGCGTGGGGGGTGCCAGGGGTGCCGGCCGCACCGGGCGCAACATCTGGGGGGGCGCGAGTCCAGAGGGAAGGGACAAGTTCCTTCCTCCGCCGGGCTCCCCGCCGCCACCGCCAGCCTTGCGCCCCAGCGCGCACGTGCCCCCCGCCGCCGCTGCGGCTGCGCTCCACTCACTGCTCGCAGGAGGAGCAGCCGCTGCAGCAGCGCCGACGCCGCCACCGACGCCTGGCCGGGCACGGGCAGCCTCCGCACCCCGCCACCGCCGCCATCCCCTCGGCCCAGCCACAGGCAGCGGCTGCTTCTGCCGACTGGGAGGGAGGAGAGCTCCGAGGGGCCTCGCCACGCCCTGCACTCCCCAAAACCCTCCGAGAGGAAGCCGGCGGGCGGGCGAGGGTCTCCCGGTGGAAGGGGGCGCCGCTGGCTCCGGCTCTCAGCGCAAGTCTCAGCCGCGGGGGGGGGGGCGGGCGGGCGAGGACAGAGCGCGGCTGGAAGCCCTCGGACCCGGCCGGGAGGAGGAGAGGCGCTCGCCAAGCCCGGATCTGGAGCGCCTCGGAGTGTGGGCTCCACCTACAGCCCAAGGAGAGGAGGGGGCGGGGAGGCGCCCGAGGGGAGGGGGCTTCGGCTGCCTCGGCCTGCGGGGGCTCCGCAAATAATAAATTTAATAAATTCCTGCTGAGCCTTTGGGGGGGGTCCTTGGCTCCTTCGCTCGCCCCCAGCCCCAGTGGCGTAGCGTGGGGGGGTGCAGGGGGGGCCCGGCCGCAACATCGGGGGGGGGCGCTCGCTCGCACTCGAGTGCTAAAATCCACGGGTTAGGGGGCGCAAATTACTTGCCTTGCCCCGGGTGCTGACAACCCACGCTACGCCACTGTCATTCCCTGCCCCTGCCAAAGCTCACCCAGCCAAGCCGCGCTCTCCTTCCTGCCTCACTTTGCTGCCTCCTCCCCCCCCCAAAGCTTGGAGGTTCCCCGGCGCCGACCCGCAGGTTTGACCCCCTTCTCACACCTGTTCGCGCTCCTTGCACGGAATGGGGCGGATGGGGAGGAACGGGGCTCGCCGCTGCCTCCGCTCGCCCTCCCCCCCTCCGCCGGCGGTCCCGCGATACTTGGATTTTTTGGCGGTTGGCACAGAAGGAAGGCAAGGGGGAGGGGAAAAAATTGAAATTTACACTTTCGTGCGTCCCTCCCGGCGTGACGCTGCGCGCTGACGTCACGGGGCTGTAATGGTGGAGTGCCTCGAGATTTTTTTCATGAAACAAGTGTGCCTTTGCCCAAAAAAGGTTGGGAAACACTGGTTTAACTCACAGAGCCACCCGCGTCCCAGTAGTAGTAGTAGTAGTAATTGGATAGAATAGCCCTGTTTTCATCGGAGAAATGTTGGAGGGTATGCCATCAGCTTGCTTTGTTTTATTTTGCACATTGGGAGGTGAAAAATGAACGCCACCTTCCCTCTCATGGAAAGTCCCAGGTTCAATCCCTGACGTCTCCATGTATGGCTGGGACAGAGGCCCTGCCCAAATCGCTGAAGAGCTGCTGTTGCCAGTCAGTGCAGGCAATACTGAGCTCAATGGATCAAGTGGCCTTGAAGCAAGCATCAAAGCCTGTATAGATTCCCACAGCCTGACTCATCATAAGGCAGCTTCTGACATCTGTGTCGCATCGGGCTGCCATGTTGTTCTGCCACCTTGTGAGAGGAGCAGGTGGGTGGAAGGATGGCTGTGGACCAGCGGCACATATGTGCCCTGCAGAAATCTCACACTGCGTGTGAAACCGGGCTGGAGCTCAACAGCCTGGCACTTCAGGGTGGCTGTGTGGGCTTCATCGTTTAATCCTGGCTTTCACACAAAATATTCTGGCGGCTATGCCAGAGGTCAAAAAGCGGCCAAGCTGATTTTGTTCTGGTTGGGGTTAGCCAGGACCCTTCTGTGTCCTCTGGGAGAAAGAAAGAGAGAAAGAGAGAAAGAGAGAAAGAGAGAAAGAGAGAGAGAGAAAGAAAGAAAGAAAGAAAGAAAGAAAGAAAGAAAGAAAGAAAGAAAGAAAGAAAGAAAGACAAGACTCCAGCACAAGACAAGACTCCAGCACAGGGCTCAAAAGGAGCCAGACCAAACTAGGCCTTATCCCTAGAAAACAACCCTGTGCTAAATTTTCAAAGCTCGCAAATATATACCAGTACTAAAGCTAGCAGGGAAATGTGTTGCAGCATGGCTTTCAGGGTGTTGACCCTGTTGTGACGTGGGGTTTGTGATTTCAGCTCTCTTGACATAATATGCTGGAGACAGTTCTCTAGTAACACTTCTTTATTAAAGCAAACAAGACTGGGACCTGAGGAGGGGAGAGCTACATTTATAGGGACAGGGAACTAGCTAGAAAGGAGACATTTTGGAGGGAACAATATCAGGCAATCACAGTCCTGCCTTTTGGAGGAAACCAATAAGACAGAGGATCCAAATACAGCAGCTTAAATGAACCAATAGTAGCTGTACCCTCTGGAACCAAAAGGCAGTTACTTTACCCTAATGCAAATACAGACAATAATAATACAGATATAAAATCCTTTGACTCAATACACAACAGACCCCGCTATGTATGTGACATTTGAGCCATACAAATCAACATTTGCACTCACTTTCAAGCAGCAAACACTTGCCTGGGTGTCAGCCTAACATGTGAATGTTGCCACAGTTCACACACCCAGGTTTCTGAGCAAGTGAGAAATCTTTCCCATCCTGTTCAAGCATGAAGCTTGCTGGATGAGCTTGGGCCAGTCACTGTCTCTCAACCACACCAGCCTCACATGGTTGTTGTGAGAGTAAAAGGCATGTGCACCACTTTGAGGTCCTTGGGGAGAAAGTGGGATGTAAACATAATCCTAATTATAACAGTAATCACAGCAGTCTCCGTGAATACCTTGGGACTGGATTTCCTAAAAATGAACCTCACTGGGGCGTTTGTGATACCTGGGATATATGGTTTTATTTGCACATAGAGTCATAGAATTGTAGAGTTGGAAGGGACCTTGTGGGTCATCTAGTCCAACCCCCTGCAGTGCAGGATTTTTTTGCCCAGCGTGGGGCTCTAACCCACAACCCTGAGATTAAGAGTCTCCTGCTCTATCGACTGAGCTACCAAGGTGGATGTGCACCAACTGAGCTTATGATGGATGGTCTCACTGTGCTAACACTCCACCAAAGGCTGGTCCCGCTTTAGTTCTAGGGTTCCTCAAAGAGAGCAAAACCTCTGGGTGTTCCCAGCTCCAGTTGCAATATGAGGTTGACTAGTCTTGCCGATCGGAAGGTTGGCAGTGCGAATCCCCGCGACGGGGTGAGCTCCCATTGTTCAGTCCCAGCTCCTGCCCACCTAGCAGTTCAAAAGCACATCAAGTGCAAGTAGATAAATAGGTACCACTCTGGTGGGAAGGTAAATGGCGTTTCCATGCACTGCTCTGGTTCGCCAGAAGCGGCTTAGTCATGCTGGCCACATGACCCGGAAGCTGTCTGCAGACAAATGCCGGCTCCCTCGGCCTATGGAGCAAGATGAGCGTGCAACCCCAGAGTCGTCCGCAACTGGACCTAACGGTCAGGGGTACCTTTACCTTTAGTCTTCTTTTCTGCTCTCCCCCAGTCAAGGGATGGTGGGCTGGTAGCTGAGTCCTGATTCCCCAAAGGGCTCCCTCTCATCCCAGAATCGTCCTTCCATTGAGAAGAATCACCTTAATTCATTGTAGATGTTATTCCAAAATTCTTTAATGGCTGTGCATTCCCACCACATGTGCATATATGACCCTATTCCATCCTTACACCTCCAGCAAGTTGTTGATCTGTTTTTATACATCTTTGCTAGTTTTGCTGGAGTGTGGTGCCATCTGTATAGCATCTTCATAATATTTTCTCTCAGATTATAGCATCACCTTAACCCTCTCCTGCCTCACTCTCACAGTCAAGAATCGCATACCCCTCAACTGCCCCATTTCTTCTGTGGCAACCGCCAAATCAGTCACAATTTCTGTCGGTGTCCTGCCAAATCCCGATTTTTCCAAGCGGGACAGAAGCAGCTCTAGTGAAGTGCTTTCGGCAAGTTGGCTAGCTCACACCCAAGCAAAAGGCACTTGGTTTTGGGTCAGGTGCTCTGGCTCGTGCCAGCGTGTCTGACCCAAAAAAGAGAGCCCAAATTTGAATCCTCCGAATGTTGAAGTGTATGGAATCACATGACTGTATGGTACCGTTCAAGGAACATCTATTCTAGACTAAGACTCTGTTCACACTCCCGCTTACTGTGCCCCCTCCCTGTGGTTCTGGTGCTGGGTTTTTAATCCCTGTTCAAATGGATTAACGTCCTACACTTTCTTATAAAATGCTACCGTCTGGCACATTATTTCTGAAACTAGCTTTATGCTGATTAGAGTCCTTCAATGATTCTCTAACCAAGGTGTGAACACCTTTGCAGAGGGTAAAAGCCTCCCCTCCCACCAGCGCCCCCTGCCAAGTGTGCATACAAATAGAAATGAATCTGACACTAATGAAGCCATGCTGATGTGAACAGCTTGGGGGGAGGGAAAGCTGTGAAATGCATGGGGGGAGGCAGGGGGCAACTTCACTGTGCTTTAACACACCCAAACACACCCACAAATCCTTTAACAAAGCCTGGCACGGTGGCAGCCTCAGGCCTCAAATTTCAGTGACACCCTGTGCAATGCCAAAATTTGGTGCCCCTGCCTTTAAATAACATTTGTGGCATCCCCTGTGGCTCCGCACTCTCAATCTCTGCTCCCCTAAATCCGCCTCTGCCTGGCACAACCCAATCCAAGGTCAGGTGGAATAAGTTAACGGGAAATTATTTCCTGTCCTATAGGAAAGGCTTTGCCCGTTGAATTTCAGTCAACAGGGGGAAATATTCCCTGCCCCTGTTTCTTCCTGGTGACCAACAGCTTCACCTCTTGAATGTCAGCCTGTCACATTGAAGGAGAGAAGGTGCAGATGTTCAGCCATGCAGCGGACTTGCCCCTGCCAATGAAAAGGCTTTCGAACTGGGAGGTGGGTACGCTGCCTGAAGCCTTATCGCCTCCTCGCCTCCCGGCCCACCCAGACACCAGGCTCCTTCATCTTGAAGGCGTTGCAGCGGGAGACAATGTGTGTGGCTGTAGCCAGCCGGTTCGTTTTAAAGGCCGACATCTGTGGGCGACATTTTCCGTCACAGCCTGGAACCAGTTCCTGCCTTTGTCCTATTGTGGCAGCCCAGACAGTAGCCCCTCTCGAGTTCCCAAACTTTGCCGCAGCCTCCTGCCAGCAGTGGCCCCCGACAATTCTGGCACACAAATCCACACACACAGAGCTCCCCGATATCCTGGCCTTGTGGTGTGTATGTCCTGGGTTGGGGAGGGGGGCTCTGCACATAATGCTCTCCCATTCCAGCGCAGAGGACCCTGAGAGTGACAATGAACTGGTTTGTTCGGTGGGGGGTGAGGAATCCCAAGAGGGCGGAGGGGACAATGAGGCCCTGTCTGGGCCACTCGCCTCATCGGCGGGTTTGGGGTCGAGGGGGGGAGGGCGTGACTCATGCCAGGGGCCGAAATGCCAGGGGGCATCGGCCAGAGGTGGGTGGAAGGGGGGATTTGCTGCGGCTGCTGCTGCTGCTGCAAGGGTGCGTGGCGGCTGTCCAAGAAAGGTGGGGACTTGGCTGTTTCAAACTCTGCTTCCACCCACAGCTGAGCTGGGAACAGAGGGCTGGATGCAGGAGCTCTCAGGTTGAGACCTCGAGGGCAGCCAGAGAGAAGCGCCAAGGCTGAGAGGAGACGGAACAGGTAGTGTGCAAGGGTAATTTTATGAGGTTGGTGGTGGGGACATTTTGCAGCACGCGCTGAGAGTGTGTGTGTCCTGTGGGATAGCTTAGTTGGTAGAGCATGAGACTCAAGGTTGTGGGTTCGAGTCCCACGTTGGGCGAAAGATTCCTGCATTGCAGCGGTTGGACTAGATGACACACCCACACACACCCGGTGGTCCCTTCCAACTCCGTAGATCTGTGATTCTGCATGTAAAGTTTGCTGAATTTTCCGCAGCGCCAGATATTGAGGATGGCGCAGGGCTGTCTTTGCCAACCTGGTGCCCCCCAGATGTGTTTCAGACTACATATCCCATCAGCCCTGGCTGGCACCTCTGGAGGTCATCAGGTCCGCTTGGCAAAGGCTGATGAAGAGGAACGTTGCTATACTCGCTCCTTTGAAGGTTTGTCTTATCATTTTATAATGTATAGAAAACAAGAGAGAAGAATTACGACGACTGGCGGAAGTTAAAAGATGAAAAGCAGAACTATAAAACGGGCATGCAGAATGCACCCAGTTGCACAGGGGTTAAAATAACAAGTCTAAAGTAAAGACTATAAACGTTATCAGATCGCCCAGGATAGTTGCAGGTTTCCCAGCCTTGTGATGGTGATTGCACTGAAAAAGATGCCTCTGCTGCGTATGTCATAGAAGAATGCCAAACCGTATAAAAATGGTCTGGAGGTTCCAGTCCTTGTCGAATCTTGAATTATCCATTATAGCTATATTCCAGAATGAGCGGTACCAAGCAGCCAGGGGAAGATTTGGGACTGTTTTCCATTGAGTTGCAGTTACCATTCGTGCCGCCAAGATCATATATAAGACCAATTCATAGAATCATAGGATTGTAGCGTCAGAAGGGAACCTGAGGGTCATCTAGCCCAACCCTCTGCAATGCAGGAATCTTTTGCTCAACGTGGAACTCGAACCCACAACCCTGAGCTTCAGGGTCTCATGCTCCATTGATTGAACTAATATATATCTGTTTTAACAGTAGCTCGAAACGTGGAAATATAGGGTGAAAACCTGTCCTTGGCATGAGTGGGGCAGAGGGAGCTTTAGCCGTTGCAATTTCTGCATGTTAAGGTGTTCAGCAAAGGAAACAGGACCAAAGGGAGCCAGTAAAAAGAGGAGAAGCCTCGTTGCAATGGACAAGACGAAATTCTGTATAAATTTGCACTACAGTAATACCGCACACCTTTGGAAATCACACAAAGCCCTACCACAAAAGATAAATTTTGTGACAAAAGTTCCATCTCCAAAAGATATTTTTTTAAAAAAAATTACATCCCTTTCTCTCTTTTATTGAAGAAGAACAGGATATTTTAATGCCATTATCATTGTTACAGAGGCGTCTGTGGAGGGGATATAGTGATTGAAAATGCCTAGCCAACCAGATTGGAAGCTGGGTTCCTATTGAGTATATTTGGCGAGCCGTCATGACAGTGATGTGGGATTGATCATTCTGTGATATTATGGCAGGGGACAAAGCTGTATTGTAACTTTTGAATACATGTATAATAATAATAATATAAAAATTACCTCAGATAATAAAGTAAGGAAAACCGCTCCTTCTCGTTCGTTTTCCCCTCGCCCTACCACATATAAGGAATCTGAGAAGAGCTGTGCTGGATCAAGGCAAGGCGCTCTTTAAAGATGCTAATTTTCAGCTGGGATTCCGTCACCTACTGGCAAATTGAGGATGCAGGATTAAGGCCAGTTTGGGAACTCTTGCGCGACAAACCCACTTCCTCCCAAAGACCAGGCTTTTGTGATAAGGAAAGTGTGGACGTTTGCTTTGATCTAACCTTGCCCAGCCTCCCCTGCAAACCAACCGGACTGATGGCTCAGTTAGTTGGAGCGAGGTGATGATCATGCCAAAGTCGCAGGTTCAATCCCCGTACGGGACAGCTGCATTGCAGGGTTGGACTGGATGACCCCCGGGTTCCCTTCCAAGTCTACGATTCTGTGTCAAGGACTGAAGCTGCAGGCAAAGGTGCTGCTTTGTTGCTGAGCCGCAGCCCTTTCCTTAAATCCCTCTCTTCTCTTCCACAGGTCTTGGGATTTGAACCCGCTCCCTGTCCTCTGTGCTATGGGGAGGCTGGGTGTTGCTGCCACAGCCTTCCTCTGCGGGGGGCTCCTCGCTGCCTTCCTCCTGAGGGAAGCGCTTGGACAGAGCAAGAAGCCTGAGACGTAAGGAGAGAGTGGTGGGGTGGGTAAAGCAGGCAAGGAATGCGAGGCTGCCCCCTGGATCTGGGCCAGAAAGCTGCAGCAGGAATGGGGATGGGGGGACGGACGGACTTCTGCAACCGCTTCCCACCCTCAGCGAGGGAGCCAGTGTGGTGTAGTGGTTAAGAGCGGTGGACTCGTAATCTGGTGAACCGGGTTCGATTCCCCGCTCCTCCACATGCAGCTGCTGGGTGACCATGGGCCATAGCTGTCAACCGTCCCTTATTTGGCGGGAAACTCCCTTATCCCAGCGCCATTTCCCGCTGCTGTCCCTTATTGATGATGTTCCTTAAATTTCCCTGGTTTCATGCTCGCCCGGCTCGGGAGGGAAGCAGCGGCTCAGGGTCCTCCGCCGCGAGAGAGAGCGTGCGCTGGCGCCGTTGTCCTGGCGCGAGGAGTTCCATCGGCCCTTCCCCACCCGGGGGGGAGGGAGGGAGACTCTCGCCCACGTCGCCCGTGAGCCCGGAGGCGGCAGCAGTGGTGGAAGCTGAGGAGGCAGCCTGAGGGAGGAGGAAGAGGAGGGGATGGGGAGGGATGCAGAAGGGCAGTGCTTCAGCGGCCACAGCGGCACTGCAACCCTCTCATGCCGGATTGACAGCATCTGTCAATCCTACCAATGTATGTAACTTTACAACAGCAAAATCCCTTATTTTAGAGGCTGCTGGTCCCTTATTTTCAAATCTGTAAGTTGACAGCTATCCCTTGGGCTAGTCACATTTCTCTGAAGTCTCTCAGCCTCACTCACCTCACAGAGTGTTTGTTGTGGGGGAGGAAGGGAAAGGAGAATGTTAGCTGCTTTGAGACTCCTTAGGGTAGTGATAAAGTGGGATATAAAATCCAAACTACTACTTCTCTTCTTCTTCCTCCTCTATAGAGCAAGATTCAAAGTTATTGTCCTAGTGTACAAAGAACTTTTGGCCCAGGGACACTTTTCCTAGTACGTCCTAAGCTAGAATAGCTCAGTCAGTAGAGCAGTGTTTCCCAACCTTGGGCCTCCAGCTGTTTTTGAACTACAATTCCCATCATCCCTGACCACTGGTCTTGCTAGCTAGGGATGATGGGAGTTGTAGTCCAAAAACAGCTGGAGGCCCAAGGTTGGGAAACACTGCAGTAGAGCATGAGACTCTCTTAATCTCAGGGCTGTGGGTTCAAGATGTCCCTCATGTTCCCTTCCAACTCTATGATTCTATGATTCCAATCACTGAGATCATCAGGGGGGACACTGTGAGAAGCTCCCGATGAACCAGAAACACGAGTCTTTGGGCATAGTGGGCCCAAATCTGTGGAACTCCTTGCCACAAGAAATCAGGCAGGTGCCATCAAGATGAAAACGGTTGTCTGCTCAGGACACCTGCGCAGTTTAAAGCTGATGTCACTCACACATACACAAAGCTTTCATTTGTGTCTTAAATTTTCCATATGATATTCTTTACCTATGTTGTAAGTCGCTTTGACACATAACTTGGAAACTGGATATAAGTTCCTTAAATGAAGAGAAACGAGTAACTGTGAAAGAAATAAGAATGGAAGAGCAGAGTCAGGCGAACACAGCAGAATTCGGCAGCCAAGTTGCTCACCGGAGCAAGACGGTTTGAGCATATTACGCTGATCCTGGTCCGACTGCACTGGCTACCAATTAGTTTCCAGACTCAATTCAAAGGGCTACTTTTGACCTATAAAGCCTTAAATGGCTCAGGACCGTGATACCTCAAGGACCATCTCTTTCCATATGAAGCTACCCGGACCCAGAGATCATCTTCTGAGGCCCTCTTTCGTGTGCCTCCTACTTGAGAGGTCTGGAGGGTGGCAACAAAAGAACGGGACCTTCTCTGCAGTGGCTCCCCACCTGTGGAATGCTCTTCCCAGGGAAGTTCGCCTGGTGCCTTTAGGTGCCAGGCAAAAATGTTCCTTTTTAACCAGGTCTTTGGTCGATTTGATTGACATCCTATGCCCTTTTAAAATGTGTTTTATTTTTTTTGGGGGGGTGTTATTGGGTTGTTTTCATTTTGATTATTTTGTGGTTTTATATTTTGATTTTATTCTGTGAACTGCCCTGAGACCTCCAGGTATAGGGCGGTATATAAATTCAATTAATAATTATAATAATAGGCTAGGTGATTGGTGCGTGAGAGTGTACCCACCCACCCACACATGCAGTCACACTTCATTCTCTTCAAAAACCTGAAACATTGGGATCAAGCAGCTAGGCAGGAAACAGAAGAGCAGAAAAAGGAAGTTCCTTCACATCAAATAGCCCCGAACTCTGCTGATGGCCACAAGGCATCACAGTCTGGAACCCTCGACAACCGTCCCAGAATCATGGAATTGTAAGGGACCATGGGGTCATCTAGTCCAACCCCCTGCAATGCAGGAATATTTTTCCCTGACGTGGGGCTAGGGCAGGCATAAGCAACCTTCGGCCCTCCAGGTTTTTTTGGGACTACAATTCCCATCATCCCTGACCACTGGTCCTGTTAGCTAGGGATCATGGGAGTTGTAGGCCAAAACATCTGGATGGTTGAAGGTTGCCTATGCCTGCGCTAGGGGGTGAAAGAATCCACTGCCACGTTTTGTTGGAGATTCCACTGATTAAGTAAATAAATCTCTTCTTCTTCTTCTCCTTTGGTGATTACTCGTAGCTGAGTAAGATTGTCTTCCATAAACACGGTTTTAACAATGAGTCCGTAAGTGACTGTGGAGGCCAATTCTGAACCCACACGTCCTTCCATAGTGTGGACATTGGTTCCCGGGCGGGAGTTGATCACGGTGTGGATTTGCCAAGCGTGCCTTCCTCTTAGTATGGTTCTCCCTTGCGTCCTGAGTTTGAGTGTCTTCAAAGCCCATGACACCTTTGATAAAGGATGCTCGGTATCTGTTTTTATATATATACAGTGGTACCTCGGGTTACATACGCTTCAGGTTACATACGTTTCAGGTTACAGACTCCACTAACCCAGAAATAGTACCTCGGGTTAAGAACTTTGCTTCAGGATGAGAACAGAAATCGTGCTCTGGCAGCGTGGCGGCAGCGGGACACCCCATTAGCAAAAGTGGTGCTTCAGGTTAAGAACAGTTTCAGGTTAAGAACGGACCTCCGGAACGAATTAAGTACGTAACCAGAGGTACCACTGAATAGCAGGCAAGGTAGCATTTGTCCTCTTTATGTTATTGCAGGATGAGTGCTTTTAAGCAAGTGGAACGGACTCCTTTGGAAAGTGTTTGACTCTCCTTCCTTGGAGATTTTTAAGCAGAGGCTGGATGCCATCTCTCAGGAATGCTTCAGTTCTGATTCCTGCATTGCAGGAGATTGAGCTAGATGACTCTTTGGGGTCCCTTCCAGTTCCACAATTGCACGATTCTAAGGTTTATTAATTTCAATAGGTCTACTCTGAGCAGGACTTAGTTGAATAGAACCCAATGTTTAAAATGCTTTTCTGGTCCTCATCTTTGGCACGCGGAAAGTCCTGATTCAGTCTTGGGCTTTTCACAGAATCTCGGCTCTGACGAAAGCCCTTGGCACAGGGCACCAGAGCTTGGCACTGAAACAGAACTGTATAGACGGATCCCCATACAAACGGCTCTTTTGTCTGAATCCAGCAAAAGACAACATCTCATCTCTTTAAAACAAAGCAAATAATTAAGAAGCGAAGACTTCCCTGGGACCTTCGCTCCCCCCCCCCCGCCCCTTTCCTCATGGAAAGATAAAAAAAAATGTGCTGCAACTTGTTTTTTTAAGAGCTGTGGGCTATACAAAGAGGATAAGTTATGTCAATCAAAGCAAACACATGCACACAATTTGTCTGGAGACAGATTATGGTCCCCACCCCTGACTCTCCCAGGGAGCTTGAAAAAGATGAAAAATTGGGATGAATCCAAAAGCAATCTTACTTCTCCATGCGGCAAATAACTTATGCAGGTTCCAGTATCGTTTTAACAACCTGCTTGGCCAGAGGAGACAACAGAATGACAGAAATATATGTATATGCTACAGAAAGCAAACTCTTTCCCAGATGGCACGCAACTCTCTTAAAAACATTGTCTCTGCTCAGCTAAGCAGCCAACGACAGCACCTTACACAGAGATCAATTTAACTTTCAATTCAACTCGGTCCCTCTAAAGTAGAAGGATACTGGGAGATATTTTTAGCAGAGCAGCAGCACTGGGAGATAGTGGCTCCTTAATCCTTCTCCCACCTGCCATTTCTCCACTCCAAATCATCTGCCCACCCTGATGGCTTTTTCTCCATGGGTTTCAGAAAGCACAATTTCACCCAGCTCCCAGATATAGCTGGCAGAGAGGCAGGGAGTGGAAGCCGCATAGGGTGGGCCACAATTTCAGAATGAAAAACTGGTACGTGGGCATTCAAAGAGTTAAGCACCCCTCCACAATCCAGCAATGAATATCTCATGGTCATGCCCAATGACGTTTCCAGAAAGCTGGCTCTGGGGCAACTTTTGGACGTAGTCATAGAAATATAGAGTTGGAAGGGACCCTGAGGGTCATCTAGTCCAACCCCCTGCAATGCAGGAAAATGCAGCTGTCCTTAAATGGCCTCGGACCAGTATACCTGAAGGAGTGTCTCCACCCCCATCGCTCAGCCTGGACACTGAGGTCCAGCTCCGAGGGCCTTCTGGACACTGAGGTCCAGCTCCGAGGCCAAGGGAGCTGGGCATGTTTAGCCTGGAGAAGAGGAGGTTAAGGGGTGATATGATAGCCATGTTCAAATATATAAAAGGATGTCATATAGAGGAGGGAGAAAGGTTGTTTTCTGCTGCTCCAGAGAAGCGGACACGGAGCAATGGATCCAAACTACAAGAAAGAAGATTCCACCTAAACATTAGGAAGAACTTCCTGACAGTAAGAGCTGTTCGACAGTGGAATTTGCTGCCAAGGAGTGTGGTGGAGTCTCCTTCTTTGGAGGTCTTTAAGCAGAGGCTAGACAACCATATGTCAGGAGTGCTCTGAAGGTGTTTCCTGCTTTGCAGGGGGTTGGACTCGATGGCCCTTGTGGTCTATTCCAACTCTATGATTCTATTCTATGGTGGCTCCCTCGCTGCGAGAAGCAAGGTTATGGGGAACCAGGCAGAGGGCCTTCTTGGTAGTGGCACCCGTCCTGTGGAACACCCTCCCACTGGATGTCAAGGAAATAAACAACTACAGTATCTGACTTTTAGAAGACATCTGAAGGCAGCCCTATTTAGGGAAGTTTTTAATGTTTGACGTTTCATTGTGCTTCTAATATTCGGTTGGGAGCTGCTCAGAGTGGCTGCGGAAAACCAGCCAGATGGATGGGGTATATTATAATTACAATTATAATTATAATTATAATTATAAGATTCAAACCTACAACCTTTGCATTATCAGGGCCACGTGCTAACCAACTGATGCCCATGAGTAGTTTTAATTAGACGGCTGGGGGGAATATGGATGGGTTTGGGCAGAGAATTTAGCGATCTGTGCGGCACCCTGGTTTTAAACCGGAAGCCGCATTATGCAGTCAGGCCCTTAGTCCATCTATCTCAGTATTGTAGACACTGACTGGCAGCGCCACTCCATTGATTCAGGCGGGAGACTGTAAGGGATTGAACCTGGAACCTCCTGCAAGGAAAGTAGATACAGTGGTACCTCGGGTTAAGTACTTAATTCATTCCGGAGGTCCGTACTTAACCTGAAACTGTTCTTAACCTGAGGTACCACTTTAGCTAATGGGGCCTCCTGCTGCTGCCATGCTGCCGGAGCACAATTTCTGTTCTCATCCTGAAGCAAAGTTCTTAATCTGAAGCAATATTTTTGGGTTAGCGGAGTCTGTAACCTGAAGCGTCTGTAACCTGAGGTACCACTGTGTTTTAACCACTGTGCTAAGACCTTTATTTTCGATGTGTTAGCAATCCCATGTGGTTTAAGCCACCACAGGGCTTTGATATTCTAGAGGCTGAAAGGAATCCCCCAAACCCTCTCAGTTGTGCACCCTCTCTGACCCACAGCCGAGTGTGCGCACGGCGCACGTTGAGGATCCCCTTGTTCTACAACGAGACCTACGCCAAGCCTGCGCACCAGCCGTATTTGACGCTGTGCGCTGGACCCCGAGTCTGCAGCACCTACAGGTACGCTAAGTCCTCCACTGCATGGAGATTCCAGGGGTGAGGAGGGTGGGGGACATCACAGAATCACAGAAGCCAATTCCGGCTTCTGTTTGGATCCTGGAATGTCCTATTTTTTTGCCTGGCGCTCTGGGGCAACCCTGCTGATTTGCACCAGAGCGCCAGAATGAAAGATGCTCGTTTTTTTGGTCTCATGAGAGTGTCTTTCGGTCTTGTATTCCCACATGCGGGAGAGTTCAGGACCAAAAAAAGAGTGTCCCGATTTTGATGCCACAAATGTTGGAGAGTATGGTTTCTGCTGGTGGTTTTTTTTTAAAAAAACTGCTATCTGTTTTAACTTGCTGAGGGAGAGGGTCTTTTCTGTGGTGGCTCCCTGCTTGTGGAATGCTCTCCCCGGTGAGGTCTGCCTGGAGTCATCTTTAGCATTCTCTCGACACCAGATAAAAACTCCACCTAGGCATTGGACAGATTGTCATGATTTTCTGTTCATTGATTACGTCAGGGATAGCCAACATGGCTCCCTCCTGATGTTTCGGACTCCACCTCCCATCATCCTTGGTCATGCCGGCTGAGGCTCATGGGAGTTGTAGTCTAAAACATTGGCTGCCCCTAGATTGTATGCCTTTGCTGCTGCTTCGTTAGATCTGCTTCATGAGTCACCGTGTTGCCTTTTAAAGTAATTTCATCATGCTTATTTTAAGAAATGTTGTGCTCCTAAAATTCCATAAGTCACATGGAGACTTCTTATACTGCAAGTGGCTAGTGATTTGAACTCGTGACTGTTGTAATGCCTGTTGTGATTTTGATCTTTTGTTTTTCAAAAAAAAATCATTTTATAACACAAATAAACAACACAAACAGAAAAAATAATATCTTATCCTTATTTTTTCTAAACATTGTTAGGTGAGCTTCCCCAAGTCCCCCCTATCTGATTTTCATTTTACCTCATCTTTAGCAGTTTACATATATCATAATTTTTAACCATTTTTTTATCACACTTACTTTTACCATAAAAATTTTCACATTTTATCCCTTACATATACTATTTCAAAATACACTACAGTGATGCCCTGCAAGACGAATGCCTCGCAAGACAAAAAACTCGCTAGAGGAAAGGGTTTTCCGTTTTTTTAGTCGTTCCGCAAGACGAATTTCCCTATGGGCTTGCTTCGCAAGACGAAACGTCTTGCGAGTTCTTGCGAGTTTGTTTCCTTTTTCTTAAAGCCGTTAATAGCCGCTAATAGCCGCTAAGCCGTTAATTGCCGCTAAGCCGCTAATAGCCGCTAAGCCGTTAATAGCCGCTAAGCCGTTAATAGCCGCTAAGCCGTTAATAGCCACTAAGCCGCTAATAGCCGCTAAGCCGTTAATAGCCGCTAATAGTTGTGCTTCGCAAGACGAAAAAACCGCAAGACGAAGAGACTCGCGGAACGGATTAATTTCGTCTTGCGAGGCACTGCTGTATCTTCTACTTCTAACGCTACAGCCTAGATTTTGATCTTTTAGGCTGCATTGTATGGTGATCTGCTTTGTATACTGTCATAAAAAGGTGAGATATAAATAAACTCTTTTCCTCACCAGTGGTCCTTACCAGCTATTAGCCACAATAGCTAGGAAGGGGGGGGGGTCATAATTTCCTGATGCTGAAGACAAACAACAAAGGATGCTGATTCCCCTTTCCCCCTGGTGTGTAGTGATCATAGAGTTCTGGTCCTTTGCTGTGTGTAGCAGGTCTGTCGCTGTGAGACCCTAATAAGCGGAGAGACTTTCTGGCCCGACGTCTCTCTACGGTTCCTGCTTCAGATAATGCTGGCATTGTCTCATCTTAAACACTGTATGGTGTCAGAAATGGAAATCATCATTTACCCAGTTTGGTGAGGAGAAGTAGCAGCCAAGGACACTTGGGTTTTTCCTCTTCCCTAGGACTACCTATCGCGTAGCCACACGGCAGGTGCGGAAAGACATTCTGCAGACCCACATCGTCTGCTGCCAAGGCTGGAAGAAACGCCACGTGGGAGACACCAAGTGCGAGGAAGGTGAGTCCTCGAACCGTGGCTTGTGGCGCAGAAATGTGGTGGAAGCCACAGAGATCGGACATCACTCAGTTATCCGCACATCCCTAAGATAGTTGTTTATGTCCTTGGCGTCTGATGGGAGGGCGTTCCACAGGGCGGGTGCCACCACCGAGAAGGCCCTCTGCCTGGTTCCCTGTGACCTCACTTCCCGCAGGGAGGGAACCGCCAGAAGGCCCTCAGCACTGGACCTCAGTGTCCGGGCTCCTTCAGCCTTGCTCTCTCCTTTCTCCTGCCAGCCATCTGCAACAAGCCCTGTCAGAACGGAGGCACCTGTGCCCAGCCAAACCAGTGCCAGTGCCAACCAGGCTGGGGCGGGCGCTACTGCCACGTCGGTGAGTAGAGCAGCTGGAAGTGACAAGAGGCGAGGGTTAGCACTGGGTGGCTGGTGGGGGACGTTGGTCACGGCTAGCTTGACATTAAAGGCACCATCGCATCCTTTCCGCCTGAACCATTAGGAAGACGCCTCAGGGGGCAATTGCTGGGAGGTCCGGGGTGGTGCCCTCTATCTTAGCCTGGTGCCCTTTATTGCAACAGAAGGCACCACCAGGGCTCATTTAAGGGATAGCTCCGTCGGTAGAGCGTGAGACTTTTAAATCTCAGGGTGATGGGTTCGAGTCTCACACTCAGCCAGGCATAAATTTCCTGCATTGCAGGGGCCTGGACTAGATGGGTCCCTTCCAATTCTACGGTTCAGATTTCCTGTGGGTTGGCAGATACCTGGCTTAAAGGCCTTACTCACCAGGACTAGAAACTTGGGGTTTCTGCAGGTTGGCAGATTATTTATTCGAGGTCCCGAGAGGAAGATGCAGCAGGGGTTCTCCCTCCCGTCAGACTATAGCTGTCAACCGTCCCTTATTTGGCGGGAAACTCCCTTATCCCAGCGCCGTGTCCCGCTGCTGTCCCTTATTGATGATGCCCCTTAAATTTCCCGGGTTTCATGCTCCCCGGGCTCGGGAGGGAAGCAGCGGCTCAGGGTCCTCCGCCATGAGAGAGAGCATGCTCTGGCGCCGTCGTCCTGGCGCGAGGAGTTCCATTGGCCCTTCCCTGCCCGAGGGGGCGGGGGCGGGAGAGAGACTCTCGCCCACGCCGCCCACGAGCCCAGAGGCAGCAGCGGTGGTGGCAGCTGAGGAGGCAGCCTGAGGGAGGAGGAAGAGGAAGAGGAGGGGATGGGGAGGGACGCAGAAGGGCGGCGCTTCAGCAGCTGCCGTGGCCCTGCAACTGCCTCATGCCGGATTGACAGCATCTGTCAATCCTACCAATGTATGCAACTTTACAACAGCAAAATCCCTTATTTGGGCTGCTGGTCCCTTATTTTCAAATCTGTAAGTTGACAGCTATGCGTCAGACACGTAGACTCCTAACCCCGCTGCCGTCTTTCCTTAGACGTGGATGAGTGCCACGCACCCGTCTCTCTCTGCGACCAACGCTGCCTCAACACCGCAGGGAGCTACGAGTGCCAGTGCCACCCTGGCTATGCCCTGGAACCAGATGGCAAGAGCTGCCGCTTGCTGCCCACTGCCCAGGCCGCCCCTCTGCACGCCAGCAAAGGTGGGTCCCCACAAGGACTGGGAGGAAGCTCTGTGGAAGGGAGGGGGGGACGCTTTGCAGGCCGAGGGCCGCATTGCCTTCTGGGTAACCTTCCCGAGGCAACATGTGGGCAGGGAAGCAATTTTGCCTAGGCACCCTATTTGTATTTATGGTTTGTTTGTTGCATTTATTCCCCACCTTTATCTCTGAGGAGCTCAAAATGGCGTAAGTGGCTCTCCTCTGCTCCATTCTCTCCCTACAACAACCCTGTGAGGTGGGTCAGGCTGCGGGGCAGTGACTGGACCGGTGAGCGTCATGGCTGAGGGAGGATTCGAACTCTGATCTCCCAGGTCCTAGTCTGACACTCTAACCGCTATGCCACGCTGGCTGTGTCTCTCTCTCACACACAAACCCCTCTGCCCTCTATCCGGGCAAGCAAGATACATTAGCAGAATTCGAGGACGCATCCCAGCTGTGCCAAAACACTCCTGGAAGGTGCGAAGCTGGGCTGGCAAGGGGCGTGGCCTGTGGAATGGGGTGTGGCCTGCGGAAAGGGGGTGTGGCCTGCGGAAATTCTCAAGGGCCAGATAGACCTGGCAGGCAGGCAGGTGGGGGCTGGCAGAGGGCAGAGTGAAGTTTGTGGGACAGGACCCCATATGCTTTATGTCCCTGGCCACATCCTTAAAGGTAAAGGTAAAGGGACCCCTGACCATTAGGTCCAGTCGTGGCTGACTCTGAGGTTGCAGCACTCATCTCGCTTTATTGGCCGAGGGAGCCGGCGTACAGCTTCCAGGTCATGTGGCCAGCATGACTAAGCCGCTTCTGGAGAACCAAAGCAGCGCACGGAAACTCCGTTTACCTTCCTGCCGGAGCGGTACCTATTTATCTACTTGCACTTTGACGTGCTTTCGAACTGCTAGGTTGGCAGGAGCAGGGACCGAGCAATGAGAGCTCACCCCATTGTGGGGATTCGAACCACCAACCTTCTGATTGGCAAGTCCTAGGCTCTGAGATGGGGAGCGGGGATTTTAACAGCTCTCTGGTTCCCAGAAATCTTTGGGAGAGGAAGCTACGGCTTTTTAACAAAGCGATGCAGTGGAACCTTGGTTGTCGACCGTAATCCGTTCCGAAAGACCCTTAGACTTCCGAAACGTTCGATAACTGAGGCGCAAAGGGCTGTCTGCAAATTCAATTGAGAAAATTGAAAAACACACAGTGGGAGCCGTTCAACTTACGAGGCGCGTTCAAAAACAGAAGCATTTACTTCCGGGTTTTCAAAACGTTCATCAACAGAGACATTTGAGAACCAAGGTTCCACTGTATAAACCTGTTGGTGTGGGTGAAGGCCAGTGTGCCCCACAACCGCCACCTCCTCCTGCCTCACGCAAGCACCTTGTTTCATCCCCTCATAGAAGGAAGCAGCCGGCTCTAACATTGGACAGAGTGAGGCGGCTGCTTCAGGCGGCAGTTGATGTTAACAGGTGGCGTTGAAGGGCAAGTGTGTGCTTGTGTGCCTGCCCTGTGCCCTCAACTTGTGTCCACAGTGCCTTGAGTCCATTTTAAAGGGGGTTTGGGGTTCAATCCCTGGCATCTCCCTGGAGAGCTGGTAGAATTTCCTGCCTGAACTCCAGGGGAGAAGCTGCAAGTCCGTGTAGGCAGCACTGAACCGGGATGGACCAATGATCTGATTCAGTGCAAGGCAGCTTCATAAGTTCGTTAGGGCTGCTCAGCAGGATTTTTGGGGGGTCATAGGGTATATTCTCCCTTGCTCCCTTTCCGTTTGCTGGTTGCTGGGCTGCTGAGGTGGAGGAGAGAACGACACCTTCAATTGCGCCACTTCCTGGCTTCTTCTCACAAACAGATCTCTTCTTCACGGGTCACAGCAGCAGCTGCCTCAGTCTGTGACCCCACGCTGCTGAGTGAATTTCACAACTTCCCTGTAAAAAGCAGCTTTGAATCTGGCCACTGAGTTCAGTTCCAAGAACCTCTTTCTGCTTTGGTTTGCATGAAAAAGGAAACAAAACAAAAAGTGCATAGGCCCTGAGAGTCGCGGAACAGCAGTCTTCAGTTCCTTTGTAAAGTACCCCAAACCAGCAGATATGTACACAGATTGGCTTAAGGTTGTATCCAATACTAGTCCTACTCAGAGTAGACTTATCTGAGTGAAGGGACCTGACAAAATTATGAATAGGACCAGTATTGGCTGAGGGGCAGAGTCTGGACACTCGAGGGCGGTGCCTGGTGGAAAAGGAGGTGGAGCCTGCCAGGGACCTATTACTTTGTAATTAAGTGTACAAAGAGCAGAATGCTGATTCGTTGTGTTCTGTACATGTGTTCAAATCTCGCCCTCCTTGGCCCTTCTGCCAGCATGGCATAGTGGTTAGAGCGTTGTACTTCGGAGACCAGGGTTCGAATTCAATCACTTGGAGACCTTGGGCCTGTCACTGCTGCTCAGCCTAACCTATGGTTGCCATACATCCGGAATATTCCGGACATTACCCGGAATACTGCAGTCGGCCGATTTTCCTGAAAAAAAGCTATTAAAAAAATCAACTTTTTTTTGCAATTATGCCAAAAAAGCTCAACAGTTATTGGGCAAAACAAAAACTTTTGAGAAGAAAGGAGAAGAGGAGAAACCATGTACAGTGGTACCTCAGGTTACATACGCTTCAGGTTACAGACTCCACTAACCCAGAAATAGTGCTTCAGGTTAAGAACTTTGCTTCAGGATGAGAACAGAAATCATGCTCCGGCGGCACGGCAGCAGCAGGAGGCCCCATTAGCTAAGGTGGTGCTTCAGGTTAAGAACAGACCTCCGGAACGAATTAAGTACTTAACCTGAGGTACCACTGTATTCCACCTTGAGCTCCTTGGAGAAAACGGTGGGAGATAAATACAAAAAAAAAATGAAATCAATTTTGGACCCTCTCTGGGGCTCCACCACACACTGGTAGTTCTAGTCCTGCTCCTTCTCACGCTCTCTTCTCCCTCGTCCTCCTCTTCTCTTCCCCCCAGTGCAAATTTTAGGGGCTCAGGAGACGATTCCCAATGAGATCCAGGAGCTTCAAGCCAAGGTGGAGCAGCTGGAAGAGGTGAGAGTCTTGGTAGGTCTCTGTCCCAGGAGGATGACTGGCCACTGGGAGAACAGGATGTTGGGCTCTATGGCCCATTGACCTCATCCAACTGGGCTCTTTATTATGTTTCTGTTCTGGCCCGTTACTTTGAGTTTCAACCAACGGCTGACCCATAAGGGACAGTGGCCTTCGAAAGAAAAAACAGTTTCCTCATCTCAATTTTAGGGGTCATTGGACCACCCCTCCCTGGTTTTTGGCCACCACACTCCTTACATGCCAGGGAGGGAGAGGCCCTCCAGTTTCCAACAGCTGGGTCTGTTTCAGATAGTTGATGGATGAGGGGATAGCGGACAGACTGATAACTTTTAAAGACCCAGGTGGGGGGAGCTAAAGGCCAAAGATTAGCAAATAAAAGAACTTAGCAGTAACAAGATTTCAGTGCGGCATTTCTCGGAGGGAGAAAGAGAGACGGGGGTTTAGCCAGGGATACATGCCATTTTTTCCCCCTCTCAACACGTGTGGGCATAAAGAATTTGGCAAAGCCAGCTCTGGATAAATAGCAGATGAAGAATCCATAGTGAGTGCCCTTGAAAATGGTTATGTCCTGGCTATACCCTTGGACAGCCAAGGGGCTATTTTGGAGGAGGACGAGGAGCCGAATGATGCAAGGCATTCCTGCAATCTCTCCCCTTCTCATGATGGGGTTTGTATATATTTATTATTTATTATTATTATTATTATTATTATTATTATTATTTATGATCTCCCCACCCTTCACCGTAAGGTCGCAAGGTGGGCTGCAACAATTTAAAATACAGTATTATTAGCACTGTTGTTGATGTTGTTGTTGTTGTTTAGTCGTTTAGTCATGTCCGACTCTTCGTGACCCCATGAACCAGAGCACGCCAGCATTAGTATTATTAATTACATTTGTATGCCACCCTTGAAGACCCGAGGGTGGTTCACCACAGAAAAATACAAAATGAGAACATACACAAAGTTACACAAAAAACAAGCCAAAAATAAAACCCCTCCCCCACAAACACACTTAAAGAGGCTTAGAATGTTAAGCAGCCAAAGGACTGGTTAAAGAGAAGAGTTTTTGCCTGGCGCCTAAAGATATGTAATGAAGGCGCCAAGCAAGCCTCTCTGGTGCAATACAAATTAACGTATTTTTCGCTCTATAGGGCGCACCTGACCATAGGGCGCACCTAGTTTTCAGAGGGGGAAATCAAGGGGGAAAATATGAATCCCCTCCCCCCAGCTCTGGGAGCTGCGGACAGGGGAATTCCCCCATCTCCCGCAAAAGCCCACAGGAGGGAGAAGGGACTGACTCAGCCAGTCAGTCCGTTCTCCCTCCTTGGGGAAAAGCCCTTTAAAGAGCGTGCGGCTCCTGCAGGCTTTTCGATGGAGCTTGTGGGGCTGGCGATGGGGGGAAGCGCTGCTTTCCCCACCGCCAGCCTCAAAAAACAGACTCTCCTGGCTTCAGCGAAAGCAACGCGAAGCCTCCGGAGCGCAGGCTTGGGAGGCTTCGCGTTGCTATCGCTGAAGCCAGGGAGCCTGCATTCGCTCCATAGGACACACACACATTTCCCCTTAATTTTTGGAGGGGGAAAAGTGCGTCCTATAGAGCGAAAAATGTGGTAGTTATGAGGAATGGGCTGCTGCCCCACCAACTTGGGTCTGCCGTCAGTCAGCCCCCACCTTTGCTGCTTGGAGAGTCCATTGAGTGGCCCTGCCTGACAGCTGCCGCCGCCTCCTTGCTCTCAGTGTTGCCCCATGTACAGCAAAACCAGAACACGTTGGCTGTCTCTGGCGCCACCTACTGGCTGGCTCCCCACCTTCTGCCCTATCAGTCCCAGTGGGCCCCTGCCACAACTGCCCTGCAGCCCTCCTCTCTCCATTCCACCCCTGCAGCGCCTGGAACGTGCCATCGCCATCTTGCCGCCTTCCCTGGAGCCCGCCCAGCTGAAGGAGCTCTGGAGTCGCCTGCTCTACCTGGACCAGGTGGAGTCGCTCAGCGACCAGCTGCTTTTCCTCGAAGAGAAACTGGGGGACTGTGAGTATCAGAAAGGCCACGCCGTCCTGACAGGCGGCAAGAACACGCCTCGCGACCCATGGGCACCTGAAGCAAAACAGGAAGGCGCCACCTAGCACGTGTGCCCTGCACCACCCAACCTTCCTTGCCCTCTCCACTGAAGCCTCACATATGGGGTCGCACAGCTGGGCTTCCAGGTTCTTGCGAGAGTTCGCTGGAAGCTGCCATGGCCGCTTCTAATCACTTATCCAGTGGTGGCAGAGACGCCCCCACAATTTCGCCACCTGAGGCACCTGCTGCAGTCTGCCTCATGGAAGGGCCGGCACCATGCACAGGAGGCAAATGATTTCATGCAGGCGAGGGTGTGATCTGGGGCAAGGAGAGTCCCGAGGGCCAAGTGGACTGGTCTGGAGGGCCGTGGGTGCCCCTCCCCCACGAGACCTGAGGCAATAGCAGGCTGGCTCAGGGGTGCGGAACGTTTTGCATTCTCCTCTGGGCAACTTTCCAAGGGTGGCATCAAACTCTTCAGAGTTTCAAGCAGCGTATTTCCCCCAGCCCTACCTGTAGATGCCTTGGGGACTGGAACTGGAACTTTCTGCAAGGAAACCAGATTTTTTGCATGCATCCCCCTGCTTCCTATTGGGCTAGGAAACGTTGCTTTCAGGCGCTTTGGCTGCTACAGCTCAATTCACCCCTCCATCCCACATCACCCCTGCAGATAATCGATTTTGCCTTGCTGGTGGGATGTGCAAGCCTCTCCGCTTAATATTGGGAGCTGCCTTATAGCAATTCAGACCAGTCATCCACCTAGCTCATTACTGTCTACACTGGCTGGCAACAGCTCTTCCGGGTTTCAGAATGAGCTCTCCCATCTCCTCCCAGATGCCATGGAAATTGGGACCTTCTATGTTCAGATAATTATGAATGCCCTTCCCCAACTATTGAAACTCTTAATTAAATAGCTGCCAACTATTTCTATGAACTGCCTTCCCTCTAGTATCAGGGGTGGTTTGGGGTCTCTTGCACTTTTCAAACCTCATTTTTTTCTCCTTCTGGGTTCCTTGCTCCCAGGTGCCTGTCAAAACGGTAAAAATGGCTTTGGCTACGACATTGCCCGGTGATGGCTGCGCCTTGGACTCGATTGATGGGAAACCAGCCCCCCCACCACCACCTCCTGCACCCCACTCTGGGGCTGGTGGCTACTGCTCTAGGGAGCTCTAGTTTAACATCTCCTCCCTGGGCACACTCCACTCATTACTTAAAAGCAAACTACGCACAGCAAGGGCTAGGCCTCTAACGGATTAACTAATGGAAGCAAGCTTCTGAGTCGCACAGCATTCTTCTGGAAGAATTCGAAGCACGGCCACACAGAATTCTCGAGGCATTCACAGCCAATGCAAAAAAGAGGGGGAAATTCAGCACTTTTGATTTCAATGGGAGATTTACAATGAATTTCTATGCGTGTTGACTCATTTGCAAATCCTGCTGCAAGTAGTAGATTATTCCCAACTATGCAAAAGACAGCAATCTTAAGCAGGTGCTTAATGCCCCCACAGAAGTCAATGGAATTTAAAAGTGTTAGCGTCCGACTCATGCCAACTTTTAAGTAGCAATGTAGCCTGCCTGGGGTGCTCTTTATTTTCTTGACTGAATTTTTCTGTGGTGAAGAGCACTCCTTTTTGTTTCTTGGAACGTGCCATCGCCATTTTCCAGTTTCTCCATCACCTTGTTTATCCTGGGCTGATCTCTCCACCACCGTCAGTCCAGAATTCAACAGGTAGAGCTCTCAACGCCTCTCAAACCGCTTCTTCTGAAATGCACCAAACTCCTAACAAGCTAATGATCATGTTCTGCACCACATTCCCTGCAACCCTGTACTTCTTCCAACCACACGTAAACAACGGAAGGCACTTATTTGCTTTTGAGATCTCGCTGTCCCTGCTAAGTTGGCTGCAGTGTTGTTGGACAACGCAACTCCCATCTTCCCTTACCTCCCCCCCCCCGATGGGGGTGTGGTGGGCATTGATGGAAATGGAAATCCAACATCTAGAAGACCACAGGTTATCCAGCTCTGGAACTAGGGAAAGATCTGCGTTCAATTCCTCTGCCTGGAAGCTCACCCTAAACCTATGAATGCTACCATTGAGCTCAGTATCCAACAGGGCAAGCTATGATAGCACCTTGCAGCATCTGAAAGAGGAATGGCTTTATTATGGCATAATCTTTCGCGGCGAAGCATAATCATTTTTTTTAAATCTTTGGCGATCACTTGTAGCCGAGTAAGATTGTCTTCCATGAACACGGTCTTAACAGTGAGTCCGTGACTGTGGAGGCCAATTCTGGACCCACACGTCCTTCCACAATGGGGACATATGTTTCCGGAAGTGAGTTGATCACGGTGAGGGTTTGCCAAGAGTGCCTTCCACTTAGCATGTTTCTCCCTTTTGTCCTGAGTTTGTGCTTTTTCAAAGTCCATGACACCTTTGGTAAAGGCTGTTCGCCAATTGGAGCGCTCGCAGGCCAGTGTTTCCCAGTTGTCAGTGCTTATACTGCATTTTTAAAAGATTTGCCTCGAGAGTGTCTTTATAAACCTCTTTTGTTGTCCACCGGTATTTCGCTTTCCATTCTTTGGAAGATGACAATCAGGCATCTGAACATGACCAGTCCAACGAAATTGTTGTTGAAGAATCATTGCTTCGACACGGGTGATCTTTGCTTCTTCCAGTACTCTGGCATTAGTTTGCTTGTCTTCCCAAGTGAATTTGGGGGTCGTGGGAACCTGACGCCGGGTTTCCCAGGGACAGCTCTCTGGGCAAGAGAATATTGTTCAAGCTGCACTTTTGACATAGTTAATTTCCTTTTATTAAAAAACAAATAAATAAAAGGTCACTTATTAACTTCTTGAATGGTAGCAGTCCTGTTTGGAGAAAGATGCCATTTTAATTCCACAGAATCTCTTGTAAGATTCTGATCCAGTTAATAACTGTTCACTGGAATGAACTGCTGCAGCTGAATTTATTTGGGAATAAAATAATAGTAGTAGTTTTATTATTTATATGCCGCTCATCTCACTGAGTTGCCCCTGCCACTCTGGGCGGCTTCCAACAAAGACATTTAATTAAAAAAAATCACACATTAAAAACCTCGCTAGACAGGGCTGCCTTCAGATGTCTCCTAAAAGTTTAGTTATTTATCTCTTTGACATCTGAGAAGAGGTCCCACAGGTGGGCACCACTACCGAGAAAGCCCTCTGCCTGGTTCCCTGTGACCTCACTTCTTGCAATAAGGGAACCACCAAAAGGCCCTCAGAGCTGGACCTCAGTATCCGGGCAGAATGATGGGGGTGGAGATGCTCCTTCAGGTACAAAGGGTTGAAGCCCTGTATGTAAATATTAATGATAATATCATCCATGCATCTATCTAATCCCATTTTTAAAGCCATCCCAGTGTGTGACCATCACTACCTCCTGTGAGGGCAACCCCCCCCAGCTCTTTCCATAGTTTATCTGCAGGTAAATAGCTGCAATTCTGGTAACGCTTGCAGCAGATGCACAGAAAGGCTTCGCCTGCAGCTCAACCCCATCTCCGAAAAGATGCCAAAGGCAAAGGTTACAGGACCCCACCATCACACAAAAAAACCCACCTTTATCTGCTAGAGACACAAAGCGAGACGCGTTGCAATGGTGGGGGCTTGTTTGAGGGTCTTTATTAAAAGCAGGAAGGTCTTAGGAACATGGACTTGGTGATGCCCCTTTTGCCCATCGCCCCCTCCCCACATCGACGCTCCCCCGACATCAACAGCCCCCCCGGAAGGGCATCTGGCGGGAGGGATAGGCCACTGGGTCTCCAACTGGGGAGAGGACAGAAATAAATCAAGGGGGGGGAATTCCCCAAAGGCAGGAGAGGAGCAGAGGCAGCAGCCCCTCTTCCCCCCCATAGCAGGGAATATTTGGCAAAATCCCACCCACCCCACGAACAAGCGCACGCTCCCTGAAACGGCTCCCCAAGCACGCCTGCCCCCCACAATAGAGGGGTCTCTCATCCCAAAATTATAGCCTCTCCCCAATCCTAATGGCCCACCCTCATAAAAAATATAGCTGCACACAGAAATCCACTCCAGTCCCAGGAAGCACGCACAGGAAGTGCATGCATCTGACTGCCCCCAATTCGTCTCTCCTCCATCCCAGGCCTTATGGGGCACCAACATGGCACCTTCCCAATCATCTGGACTACAACTCCCATCAGCCCCAGGGCTAGAGAGAACAGGTCCGGGAAAGGCTTTTCCCTCCGCCTGAGGCCTTGGAGTAGGCCAGGCAACGAGGTGCCCTCCAGCGGCTGCTGTACCCCAGCTCCCATCAGCCTCAGCCAGTGTGGCCCGTGGTGAAGGATGATGGGAATTGTAGTCCAGTAATAGCTGAAGGGTGCCGCATCAACTACCACCACCACAATTTAATTCCTGCTTGGCCCAATTGGCTAAAGGGCACCAGCCTCATGCCACTAGCCCCCTCCTCCATGTTGTGCACCCCTTCCCCCCCCAAAAAAATCGGCCTAGTGACCCCGCACCCAAACACTGGTTGCCCTTCCCCAATGCCCTGTCCCAAGACCTCAGCCTTCCTGCCATATTTTGCCACAGAGGGAGCACACACACGTACCTCCCCTCTGCCCATCTCCGAGACCAAAAAATGAGAGTTTGCAGCGCCCAATGCCTCCAAATGGAACCAGGAAAGCAGGCTGCCACGTTGACGCAGCTTGGATAAGGGCAGGCTTGCTTCCCCCTTCGCAGGGCAGTTAAAATATTTTAACCAACACAAAAGTAACAGGCCCAGGGAGGCTGTCAGGAAACGGGCGTCTTCTCACATTCCTGCTCTCGTTTTTCCCCAAAGTAGCATCCCTAATTTCTGCCCCACATCAATTGGGTCGAGGGCTGGTCCCATAAACTGGGTTCCACAGGGTCAGCCCATATTATTTTAGCCCCCCCCCCCCGTGAGACACACTGCAACCCCCCCTCCCCGCAAAGCTGCTCTTTCGTTCCCTCGTTTCACCCACCGGGTGACTGAAAAGAGCCAATACAGAGTCACATTCTTTCTGTGTCCCCAGCCCCACCCCCACCCCGCCGCAGTTCCCCCATTCGCCGTGCCCCTTTCACAGAGGGAGGTAGTCTTGTCCACCGTTTTATTAGAGCTGCTGATCAGTCAGAGGCCTGGGTGGGTCGTAGTCCACACAGCTCCCCTCCTTGGGGAGCTCTGGAGTGGTTGGTCGCCGCTTTGCTCCCACCGCAGGCAAGATGTAGCGGATCGATCAATCGTGCCCATTCCCTTATCTCACACGCAAACACATACACACACACCCCTTCGTGAAAGGCCAGCGGGGTGTTTGCAACCAGCTCGCAACCCGGCTTCACATTTTGCAGTGTTCGCACTCAGAACCTGCCCTGCGCCCATCTCGTCCCCCAGAGGAGCGCCGGGATGAATCTTCCCTCTGCAGGGTTCGAGGAGCGGTTCTGTTTATACGTTGCCTGTGGGTCAGCCCACAAAATGCTCCCTGCCCCCGGAACAGGGGGCTGGAGTGGTCCAGTCCGAGAAGCTCAAGCAAAACAGTTCACATCGACAGAAACGGTTGAGGGGAAGAAGACCTGGCGGGGAGAGGGCTGCGCCATCTACCTGGTTGTGGGAGGGGAGAATTCTGGTCCGAAAGGTGGAAGCGGGCGTGGCTGGGATCAACTCCGCCCCTGCGGCTCCTTGTGGGCGTGGCCAGGCGAAGCCCACCCCAGCTTGCAAATCTCCGGGTTTGGTTGTAGCGTGGGCCGCTTCCATCACCGCCTCTGCCACTCCTGGTTTGGCTTGGCCACTGGGGAGTTAACGCCGCCCTCTTCTGCGTGGCCCACGTCCCAGTGGGCGCAAAGCTGTTCCCAGTCCCCACCTCATAAGCTCCTCTCTCTCTGTCTCTCTCTCTAGGGCCGGATGTTGGGAGGGAGGAAGTAGTAAAAGGGGGTCACTGCGGGGCACCCAGCTCCACCGAGAGCCCCTCAAAGGCAATGAGCATGGCCTGGCGCACGCGATCTGTCAGTGCCGGCACGTCTTCAGCCACCAGCTCCCGCGTAGGCATGGGAGGCAGGATCTGGACCGTGCAGCGCCCTGCGCCGGAGGAGGAGGAGACGGAGGCAGTGGAAAGGGGCCGTGGTGATGTAGCCGGACCAGGTGGGGGGCAGAAAGGGAGAGAGAAGGAAAGAAAAAGAAAAGTGTTAAGTGTGCAGGCTGCAAAGAGGCAGGGCAGGAGGTATTTAATTACAGTCATTCCTCGGGTTGAATGTGCTTCGAGATGAGCGTGTTCAAGTTGCGCTCCGCGGCAACCTGGAAGTAATGGAGCGCATTACTTCCGGGTTTCGCCGCTTGCGCATACGCTCAAAATGACGTCACACGCATGCGCAGAAGTGCCGAAACGTGACCCGCAGAGGCGCAGACATGGGTTACGTTTGCTTCTAGATGCGAATGGGGCTCCGGAACGGATCCCGTTCGCATCTAAAGGCACCACTGTATTTTCATTTATTTGCCTGCTAATTTCATATTCCCACTTTCCTCCCAGGTCAGCTCACAACGTAAATTAAAACAGATACAGTGGATGCTCGGGTTGCGAACGTGATCCGTGCAGGATGCACGTTCGCAACCCGCAGCAGTGCGTCTGCGCACACGCGTGTTGCGATTCGGCTCTTCTGTGCATGCGTGACTGCTGAAACCCGGAAGTAACCTGTTCCAGTACTTCAGGGTTTCTGCGGTCCGTAACCCGAAAAAACGGAACCTGAAGCGTCTGTAACCCAAGGTATGACTGTACAACTAAAAATGTATGATTTATTTACCTATTTTAAACCCCCCCACACACACACTAAGTAGCCCTATTGAAAGCAGCACTGAAATCACTCAAAGCCATTTAACCCCCAAAATTACATCACCCACCCTCAGAAGACCCTACCACAACAGCCAGTGAGTGGCCACAGGTTTGTCAGAACCAGCCTCGTCCCTGGGGATAAGGGAAGGGGAAGGGAGGGAAAAGGAGCCAGACTGCTGGACTCACCCGTGGTGAAACGCCTTTCCTTCTTACTGTAGAAATCCCGATACGATGAGATCACAACTGGGATGATAGGAACCTGGAAAGGTGGGGAGGGAGGGACAGAGGGAAGAAGACAAAAAGGTAATACACTTCAGGGAGGGCTGTTAAAAAAAAAAAGGTGTTTAAACGTCTTTTAAAAGTTGTTTTCATTTGGTGGCTGTCGTGGTCTTTTGGGAAACAAATCCCAGAGTTTAGCTGTGTGCTGCATGAAAAGGGTTCCAGCATTATGAGAAAAACCTTCCTTCCTTTCTCCCTCCCTCCTTTTTCAGCTCTTTCTTCCCTCCTTCCTTCTTTCTGTCATGGTCTAGCGTAGCCTATTAAGGACTTTGCAAGGACTGGAAAAAGTGCACCCGATTCTCTGAATAGTGCCATAGGAATGCTAAGTTTTTTGTTACGAAAACACACCTCTTTGCGCTTTTTGACACCTGAGGTGCTTCACTGGATGGTGCCCAACTCTTTTCCGCCATTGACTCTGTTCCGTTCGACTTGGAGCACTTTTGTTTTAGAGCAGCACTGGTTTCCTCTGCTTTTATAACCATGTGCTGCATGGCTGAGATTCCTGCGTTGCAGGGGCTTGGACCCTGGGGGTCCCTTCCAACTCTGCAATTCTATAAAATGAAAGGACTCTGCCTCTGAAACCCGGGATACCCACGGACAGTCCGTTTAGGCCAGTGTTTCCCAAACTTGGGTCTCCCGCTGTTTATGGACTACAATTCCCATCATCCCTGACCACTGGCCTTGCTAGCCAGGGATAATGGGAGCTGTAGTCCAAAAACAGTTGCGAGACCCAAGCTTGGGACACCCTGGTTTAGGCAATACAGAGTCAGGCTGACCAATATTCTGACTCTTTCGAATGACACCTTTCTTTGGCTTAACAAAAATAAAAGCAGCGCTCCTGGTTCATGCTTTGCATACATCTTCCTGCTAATCTTTGGTGTAGTGGTTAAGAGCGGTAGTCTCGTAATCTGGGGAACCGGGTTCGCGTCTCCGCTCCTCCACATGCAGCTGCTGGGTGACCTTGGGCCAGTCACACTTCTCTGAAGTCTCTCAGCCCCACTCACCTCACAGAGTGTTTGTTGTGGGGGAGGAAGGGAAAGGAGAATGTTAGCTGCTTTGAGACTCCTTAAAGGGAGTGAAAGGCATATGAAAAAATGGTTTTTTATAAGTAAAAGTTTAAGCTACAATAATTTAAGATGTTGGATAGAAAATAAGGTGTTATTTAGCTGTAATGCTAGGAGATAAGGATTTGCTGGACAAATAATTTGAACTAGAAAACATGAAGGGGAGGTATGAGGAGGTCAGGGAAATATGTTACTGAAAAAAAGTTGTGAACTTTATGTGTTTTTAATATTTTTTCTTTTTACGTTTTTCTCTTTGTTTGTATAAAATTGAAAACTTTAATAAACATCTTATAAAAAAAATAAAATAAAGGGAGTGAAAGGCGGGATATCAAGTCCAAACTACAAAACAGCCCTGCGAAGTACAATTATCCCTGTTGGGAGAGGTCAAGGCCGAAAGAGAGAGGAAGGGGTGTGGCAGAGACGCGCTTGGCAAGTCAGTGGCGGAGGAGAGACTTGGAGGTGGCTTCTTGGCTCTTAACCTGCTGCTCTGCAACCTTAACAAGACACACACTATGTGCGTTGGGCTCAGAGGTCACCCCCGTCGGATTTCAGAGGCCAAAACCGCACAGGGGGTTGCAGCTCGAGTCGCCCCCACGACTAAGTAAAGAGGAAAGGACTCCCTACCTGGGCTTGCACAGCCAAATGGAAGGCACCCCGCTTGAAGGGCAGCATGGAGCCGTTGTGGTTCCTGGTGCCTTCGGGGAACACCCAGACCCGAACCTGCAGGGGGGTCAGAGGAGAAAAGGAAGGAGCATAAGTAGCTGCAGGCTGCACAAATACAGCTAAAGGGGTTCCTTTCTGTGCCCTCCATTCCCCAAGCCGAAAAAGCTTTCCCCAGTGGCTGCTAGAGACCCAGCACAAGAACCCACCATAAGAAGAGCCCGGCCTGGATCCGGCCCAGGATATGTTTCCCAAGCAGAAGCACATGAGCAGAACATCCCTCCACTGTCGTTTGGGTCCCAGAAACTTGTATCTGGAGCTACACTGCCTCTAAAAACAGACAATCCGTTCGGCCAAATAGATGTCGCAATCCACACACAATCCCTGTGGCGGCGTCGATTTAGCAGACGGCTAAATCGGCGCAGAGCAAATCCAAAAAGCCCTTCTCTGTGGAGAGAGCTTGAGGCCGGTTTGTTTTCCTACAAAAGCGTCTCCCTCCGCCTTGTGCACTCCAAGATGGTGTGTTCCACCCACTGAGGAGACAGTACCAGTACAGTGGTACCTTGGTTCTCAAACTTAATCCGTTCCGGGAGTCCGAAACCATTCGAAAACCAAAGCTCGGCTTACAATTGGCTGCAGGACATTCGGCTTCCGAAAAACATTCGCAAACTGGAACACTTACCTCCAGGTTTGGGGCGTTCGGGGGCCGATTTGTTCAACAACTAAGCCGTTCAGGAACCAAGGAACCACTGTGATTAAGAGCCGAACGCTACAATGGCAAACTTCCCTCTCTCCCACTCTCTGCCCAAAAGGGCTGTACCAGCAAGTTAGCATTTAAGCAAGGTGGGAAAGCCCAAGAGGCCAGCACCCAGGCGCACGCCCTTGTGAATTTCGGGGAAAATAATCAATATTAGCTCTCTTGCTGCATCCTGTACACCCAGCCACGACACAGACACAATCCCACTTCGCCATCCCTTCCTCCTACCCCTACCCCCGTGCCTCCAGATCCCCCACGATTCCCCAAAATGTAGGCAGCCCCGCCTCCCGTTCCAGCAACACTCACATCCTCACAGAGCATGGTTTGCGCCGTCTCCGCCATGACGCTAATGGCGTCGTCGGTTTTCTTGCGGTTGATGAAGATGATGCCCCCTAGCCAGCACGCCAGTCCCACTGTGCCCATGTACATCAGCTCCTTCTTGGCGATTGGCACACACCGGTCGGGCAAGACTTCCATCATCCCTGCAGGGCGGGGCAGCGGAGAGGGAGGAAAGCGGGAAGGTTAGCCACGGCAACAGATCAAGGCCGCCCAGCCCACTATGTGCCAGAACACCGGTCGGGGGGCGACCATGGCCTGGTGGCACAGCAAAGGCCCAGCCAGAGTACACCAGAGGTGGGGAATCTGTGGCAATTTGTATCTTATTGACTACAACTCCCATCGTCCCTGACCACTGGGCCATGCTGCCTGGAGGCTGTTGGGAGCCTCAGAACCTTCTGCAGGGACACAGCTTCCCCACTGGGATGTAAAAGCAAATTTTTTAAAACGTTTTCGCACTTCCTGGACTCCGTTCCTGTGCAAAATTCAACTAAAAAGGTCAACCAAAATTTGAGGCAGCCAATGCAGTCCCCTCTGGATGTAGTTTGACTCTCAGCAGACGGCGGCCAAGAGGAACAGGAGTTATGGTTCAGTCACATCTGGAGGGTTGGGCTATCCCAGACTAGATTACTTTTGATAATCAGGCCTGATTATCGTCTTCCAAAGCAACTCCTCTATTCCGAACTTAAAAATGGAAAGCATAATGCTGGTGGTCAACAAAAGAGGTTCAAGGACTCTCTCAGGGCAAATCTAAAAAATGTAGTATAAACACCAACAACTGGGAAACACTGGCCCCTAAAAAAATGTTTAGGGGTACTCTCATTTCCTTCTCATATTGAAATACTGCCCCTCAATGAGGCCAAACTTAGATGCACAAAATGTTTATGGGTATGCGTCCCCCCAGGAAAAAAGCACTGGGCTTCCAACCTTACAATTCTTTGAACATCTAGGGGTCCAAAGTCTCCCCGCACCTGCTTAGAAACCAACGTAAGGTAAAGGTAAAGGTAAAGGGACCCCTGACCATTAGGTCCAGTCGTGGCTGACTCTGGGGTTGTGGCGCTCATCTCGCTTTATTGGCCGAGGGAGCCGGCGTACAGCTTCCAGGTCATGTGGCCAGCATGACTAAGCCGCTTCTGGCAAACCAGAGCAGCCCATGGAAACGCCGTTTACCCTCCCGCCAGAGCGGTACCTATTTATCTACTTGCACTTTGGCATGCTTTCGAACTGCTAGGTTGGCAGGAGCAGGGACCGAGCAATGGGAGCTCACCCCGTCGCGGGGATTCGAACCGCCGACCTTCTGATCGGCAAGTTCTAGGTTTTGTGGTTTAACCCACAGCGTCACCCGTGTCCCTGGAAACCAATGAAGATTGCTTTAAAGTGGGCAGGAACTCTTAATAATTTGGTGGTATGGTAAAATGGACTGACGGAAGAGGCCACGAGGGGTTTTCTACTCACATTCTGGCCACCTACCCAGACCCCCTTCCCCCCTGCCCAGGCGTACCAAGCAAGTCAAGCGAGCTCTGATGGTTGGACACGATCACATAAGGCTGCTTGATGTTGAAGTTCTCTGTCCCCCGCACATCAATCTTGATCCCGTACAGGTATTTCACATGTAGCATCATGGACCGGATTATCCTGGAGATGGAAAAGAGGAGAAACTTGTTCACCTGCGACTTCCGCACCTCACTGCACCGCAGTCGCTGATGACGACAACAACAGTTTGCCATCTTCCCTTCTGCAAGGTTTACCTAGTGGCTTCATTATACAGTGGCACCTTGGTTTTCGAACATAATCTGTTCCAGAAGTCCGTTCGACTACTGAAACGTTCAAAAACCAAGGCGTGGCTTCCGATTGGCGCAGTAGCCGACAGCAGCATCGGACGTTCGGCTTCCAACAAACATTCGAAAACCGGAATACTTCTAGGTTTCGGGAGCCAAAATGTTCGAGAAACAGGGCATTTGAGAACCAAGGTTCCACTGTATATTTTTAGGTGCCAGGCAAAAACATTCCTCTTCAACTGGGCTTTTGGCTGATTAATTTGCCACCACCTTTTAAATACCTTTGTGGGAGCGCGGGTTACTGTTTCGTTGCTGTTGTTTAGCTATTTATTTGTGTTTTTATCTTGTGAACTGCCCTGAGATCTTTTAATGAAGGGTGGTGTAAATATCAAAATAAATACAAATAAAAATAAAATAATAAGCTGTCAGTCATAAATAATTTTTGAGGCACTGAGGTGTCTGGAGTGCTCATGCTCCCTCTAGAGGCCAGTGTTGTTCAGTGCAGCTTTCAGTTTTCACAATACCAAAGCAGCGAGAAGTTGTTTTTATTGCTTTTGTTGGCTCTCCTCTTTCTACCGATACAGTAAAGGTAAAGTCCACAGGAGGCCAACCTGCATATAACCATGTAAGAAGCAGCTGCCACAAGACATTTTGCTGCCTCAGGTGAAGTCCAAGATGCCTCCCTGTGGCATTCCACTAACCTAAAAGATCGCCTCATCCCCTACTACGCAGTCTCAGATATGTATGTTAATCGTCAAATGGCACCTTAAACCCAGGTTACAGTGCCCACAATGGAATGTCTGGGTACCTCTTTGTTTACAATGAATTTTGGTGTGATGGTGGTTCATTTTATTTTTATACTGCTTTATATATATTTTTTTAAAAATCTCGAAGCTTCCTTGGAGGTATTTAAGCAGAGGTTGGATGGCCCTCTGTCATGGATGCTTTGGCTGAAATTCCTGCATTCAAGGGGGGTGGGCTAGATGACCCCTGGGTCCCTTCCAACTCGTGATTCTATGATATCTGCCAAATCTGCCCCTAAGACTCGCCTTCAGTCCTTAAGCCGCACTGCTAGCTAAAACCAAGCCACAGGTCCATTCCGTTCAGAGCAAAATTCCAGGAGGCCAAATGTCAGCGGTGGGCAGGGCCAGAGATAAAAGTTGGCAAATAAAATTAATGCGAAATTTACCTTTGTGCAGTAGGCTATTTTACCCTGTTCTATCCTTAATCTAAGGAAAGAAGAGGCATTGTCAGAGTCTGTGGGGACATTCCAGCTAGGCCAAAAGCTATCAAGGAAGGGTGCAGAGCAGAACCGCATTAAACTGATTTTATCTATAGATAATCCAGAAACAATGGAAACGTTTAAATGATTATTTATGTAGACAAAGATTAAATGTAAGGTATTGGTTGTGTTTAGAATAGATTTATGAAAGATTTAGAAAACTTACTGATTAGAATATTTGTATGAGATTGTATGGGGAAAATACGGAATAACAGATACAATGTTGCTTAAAATGTATATAGGAAGTGCAGTGTAAGCAATGGAAGTCAATCAACGAAATTTTATTATTGAGATATTTGTAGAATAAATTTGGAAGAAATTCTTCCAACTTTTCTTCTTTTCCTTATTTTTTCTTTTTCTTTTCTTCCTTTTTTCTTTTCTGTTCTTTTTTTATATGTGTACTTATCTGAAATATATATGTATGTATGTATTTGCAGTATTTTGCTTGTATTTTGTAATCATTATGTTAAATAAAATAAATAACAAACAAACAAACAAACTGATTTTATCTATAGATACTCGTAATGGGAAAAGCTTAAACTGCAAATAAAACTCAGTTCTAGAGAGTAACACAAATAAGGCAGGAATTATTCTTTACAAAGCGCAAGGAGATAACAAGTGTCAGTATTGTTCTTACTACAGTGGTGCCCCGCAAGATGAATGCCTCGCAAGACGAAAAACCCGCTAGACGAAAGGGTTTTCCGTTTTTGAGTTGCTTCGCAAGACGATTTTCCCTATGGGCTTGCTTCGCAAGATGAAAACGTCTTGCGAGTCTTGCGATTTTTTTCCGCTCCCCCTCCCTTTTTCTAAGCCGCTAAGCCTTTAATAGCCGCTAAACCGCTAATAGCGCTAATCCGCTAAGTGGGTTGCTTCGCAAGACGAAAAAACTGCTAGACGAAGAGACTCACGGAACGGATTATTTTCGTCTTGCGAGGCACCACTGTATTTCAAGCAGCACAAAGAACTATAATTTCTACATAGCAACATACTGAGATGGGGGCTATTCTGTTGTGAATTTCCTCGTTCAAATACATTACAAAATCACACCATTCAGATCCAGATGTTTCACCCCTCCCATTGCAAGAATCTGCTGACAATGTTTCAGAAAGGAGGGGGCGGATTTTGCTCATTGCTGCTTCCGCTCCAGCCTGACTTCAAAGGGAGTCTGAGTGTTATCTGTATATAGATAAGGTGACTGCTCAAGCAGCTGTAACACTCAATCAGTCCAGCGTCTCCGATTAGTCGTGAGTTTATGCAGTAGCTGTAGAGAATAAAAGAAGTTATACTTCCTTGTTTGTGTGGTTCATACTCTGCTGTGCTCCGCTGACTTTTGGAACTGAGTTTGGTGCTCACAGCTCTGAGTTGTGAGTCCACAGCACTTAGACCTGCTTCTCTGCAGTGGAAGGTCCCTGGATGTGCTTCCCAGCTCGCCTGGCTCAGTCGGGGCTGAAGAGGTTGAGCCCAGTTGTTGGCACTGGCTCAAAGGCGAAGCTGACACCCCCCCCCCCCAGCCGCCCTGTCCTCTTAAAATTTATTCCCAAGCTTTTCAACCAAAGCTACATCCCAAACCTTTTAATGCTTTTTAACATGTCATAGAATCATAGAGTTGGAATAGACCACAAGGGCCATCGAGTCCAACCCCCTGCCAAGCAGGAAACACCATCAGAGCACTCCTGACATATGGTTGTCAAGCCTCTGCTTAAAGACCTCCAAAGAAGGAGACTCCACCACACTCCTTGGCAGCAAATTCCACTGTTGAACAGCTCTTACTGTCAGGAAGTTCTTCCTAATGTTTAGGTGGAATCTCTTTCTTGTAGTTTGGATCCATTGCTCCGTGTCCGCTTCTCTGGAGCAGCAGAAAACAACCTCCCTCCCTCCTCTATATGACATCCTTTTATATATTTGAACATGGCTATCATATCACCTCTTAACCTCCTCTTCTCCAGGCTAAACATGCCCAGCTCCCTTAGCCGTTCCTCATAAGGCATCGTTTCCAGGCCTTTGACCATTTTGGTTGCCCTCCTCTGGACACGTTCCAGTTTGTCAGTGTCCTTCTTGAACTGTGGTGCCCAGAACTGGACACAGTACTCCAGGTGAGGTCTGACCAGAGCAGAATACAGTGGCACTATTACTTCCCTTGTGTTTTATTCTGTGTTTTATTTTTATTGTGTTTTAAATGTGTTTTATTCTGTGTTTGTATTGGTTACAGGTTTGTATTTTGGCGACATGGTTTTTCCCAGATTGCATACCCCTTAAGAGGTTTTTAAAACATTAAGCGGTTCATAAATGCTTTCGGAATAAATCGCTCAGAGATGTTACCAGTAGAACCCAATTTACCTTCTGCCCATCCCTCCTCCAAAGTATCGTCGTACAAATATGAAAAATGCTCTGTGTAACTTAAGTCACATTATACAGAGATACCAAAGTTATGGAAACTGAAACAAATAGCTGCTTGGAGCTCTTTGACATGCAGAGTGTACATTGTACAACGTGTGAATCTGGTTAGAGAGTAGACGTCACTTGTTGAAATCGCACACAGAATAAGAAAATAGCTTTATTCTGGGAATAAATCAGAACGTGGATAGAAAAGTGTTCCAGCTCTAACCTAACTAATCGAAGACAAAAGGAGCCAGGCCTGCTTCTCTGTTTTCCGATGATAGATTCAAGGTGACCTCTCACCTTGAGGTCTCAGGAGGAAGCGTTAGAAAGTTGTAAACAGGATGCAACCTAAGACATAGCCTTCTGAATTTTTAAAAGGACAGGGAGGCCAGAAAATAGGTCAGAGGCTACATAAAATCAAAGCGTTGGAAGGGACCGAACGAGTCATCTAATCGGTTTCCTGCCCACAGCCGTCCCTGGGCAGTCTCAAACCACCAACCTTCTGGTTAACAGGCACAGGGATAGTCTGGGAGTCTGGAGGTCCATTGCTCTGCCTGCCTTAAAGGTAAAGGGACCCCGACCATTAGGTCCAGTCGTGACCAACTCTGGGGTTGCGGCACTCATCTTGCTTTACTGGCCAAGGGAGCCGGCGTACAGCTTCCAGGTCATGTGGCCAGCATGACTAAGCCGCTTCTGGCGAACCAGAGCAGTGCACGGAAACGCCGTTTACCTTCCCACCGGAGCGGTACCTATTTATCTACTTGCACTTTGACGTGCTTTCGATCTGCTAGGTTGGCAGGAGCTGGGATCAAGCAACGGGAGCTCACCCCGTCGCGGGGATTCGAACTGCCGACCTTCTGATTGGCAAGTCCTAGGCTCTGTGGTTTAACCCACAGCGCCACCTGCGTCCCATCTGCCTGCCTTAACCCCATGCAAAAAAACTCTCTCTTTTCTTCTTAAGTTTTAATTTATACTTTTCAAGTCTATACAATTCATTAGCTTTGCAATCAATTTAACATTTCTGAGTTGGACTTCCTTCCCCCTCTTCCTCCTCTCTCAGCAAGCAGAGTCATGCCCAATCTTCCAACAAAAGATTTACGAGTCATCCGTCCCGTCCCCCCCCGGCCAAACACAACAATGGCTGCACCCACCATTGCGCTGGCTTTGTGAACATCCCGCCAGCACAGGGACTTCCTTTGGCATGGAAGAACAATGTTCCCCAAGCCTCTGTCCCCCATGGGCCCCCTAAATCTGTTCTAGGGGGTTCCCCCCAAAAAAAACACACTCTGGAGCAGATTTGGGGAAGGTGGAAGGGAACAGGGGGAGTCCCACTGCACGAACGAAAATCCTTGCTCTCGCAGAATGAGATAACTGAATACCTCCCAAAGAGCCTAATACACAACAAAACTCTTGTACTTACTTCATATTCTCCACGTTGCGCCCACGGACTGCGCAAATAGGGATGACGATGACGGCCAGGAAGAGGATGTAGCTGTTGTAGAATGCCATCTTGCAGAAGTACTTGAAGGTGGCACTCCATTCGTAGAGAAGCGGGACCACCACCAGGAACAAAATGAGGAGCCCCTGGCCCAGCGAAATCTCCATTGTCCCTGCAGGGGGGAGGGAAAGAGTTAACTCCGTTTCTATTTCAGCAGCCATTTTAAAGCCATTCTTCCATTTTATAGCTTGCTTTTCATTGGGTTTTGTTTTATTTGTTACTTGTTATTTGTTACACTTATCATACACTGCTGAGAGACGGCTGCAATTAAGCAGCATATAAATTTTCATAATATTGATGCACTGCTTGATCATTGTTGTTGTTGTTGTTGTTGTTTTTAAAAAACCCCTCAAGGAAGCTTTCAAAAAGACACGACAAATTAAATTAACAGCAATTCAAAACTGTCAAAAAGTTAGCATAGCAATAGACTGAAATGGATTAAAACTCATAGATTAAAATTGTCAAACCAAACATCATTAATAGATATTTTGGATTCTTGTAAGCACTGCATGCCAAACACAACCCGCTAAAAGCAGTTTCTACAAAAATGTATATCTATAACAAAATCATGAAATTAAGTTATAGCATACGTCTCCACCCCCATCGTTCTACCCGGACACTGAGGTCCAGCACCGAGGGCCTTCTGGCGGTTCCCTCACTGCGAGAAGCCAAGTTACAGGGAACCAGGCAGAGGGCCTTCTCGGTAGTGGCACCCGCCCTGTGGAACGCCCTCCCACCAGATGTCAAAGAGAACAACAACTACCAGACTTTTAGAAGACATCTGAAGGCGGCCCTGTTTAGGGAGGCTTTTAATGTTTGATGTAGTACAGTATTTTAATATTTTTGTTGGAAGCCGCCCAGAGTGGCAAGGGAAGCCCAGCCAGATGGGCGGGGTATAAATAATAAATTATTATTATTATAATAATACATAAAAATTCATAACACTGTGTTTGTTTCACTTCTCGGGTTGGCACGGCCGTCGGTTGGGATATGGGGATTGGCCAAAGACGTTCAAGTGAGCTCATAGCTGCACCGAGAGAAGTCTTGAACTAGGGACTCCCAGCACCTCGTGTGTGATCATGACTCCGATATACCCTTCTGCATCTTCACTGCTTAAGCTTGGTGCACGGCAAAGCGAACTACAGCTAGAAGGCACCATTCCCCACTCAGAGAAGACCTATAAGCCCCTCTTGAATGGGCAGACTTTTGCTGTGCTGTCAAACCATCAAAATTCTGCCTTGAGGCCACCCAAAGTCGACACCCAGAGATCTTCTCTGATAAGCAAGTGTGGCAGGTTCCTTAATTTACACCATTTTGCAAGCTTCTGTCCTAAGACTGCAGGAGTAGGATGTTTTTATGCAGTTCCTTGCAAATACAAGAAGAAGAGGAGTTTGGATTTGATATCCCGCTTTATCACTACCTGAAGGAGTCTCAAAGCGGCTAATATTCTTCTTTCCCTTCCTCCCCCACAACAAACACTCTGTGAGGTGAGTGGGGCTGAGAGACTTCAGACCAGCCAAGCATACTAGGACTCAGTTTCTTGACTTTAAGAAAGCCGGCTTCATAAAACTTAGGGAAGTGCTGGGTGAGATCCCATGGACAGTAATACTAAAAGGAAAGGGAGTTCTTGATGGCTGGGAGTTTGTTAAGAGGGAGATAGTAAAAGCACAACTTTTGGCAATACCAATGAGACGGAAACATGGAAGGTGCCTAAAGAAGCCAGGGTGGCTATGTAAAGAACTTTTAACTGAGTTAAGATTAAAAAGGATGTGTACAAAAAATGGAAAAGGGGGGAAACCACCAAAGAGGAATTCAAACAAATAGCCAGCACATGTAGACACAAAGTCAGAAAAGCTAATGCACAGAATGAACTCAGGCTTGCTAGAGAGGTTAAAAGCAACAAAAAAGGCTTTTATGGGTATGTCCATAGCAAAAGGAAGAACAAAGAAATAGTGGGGTCACTCAGAGGAGAAGATGGTGAAATGCAAACAGGGGACACAGAAAGGGCTGAACTCCTCAATGCCTTCTTTGCCTCAGTCTTCTCCGATAAAGAAAACAATCCCCGACCTGAAGAATTTGGAGCAAATGATTCAGCAGAGGAAACACAGCCCAGAATAACTAAGGAGATAGTACAAGAATACTTGGCTAGTCTAGATGTATTCAAGTCTCCAGGGCCAGATGAACTGCATCCAAGAGTATTAAAAGAACTGGCAGATGTGATTTCAGAACCACTGGCAGTCATCTTTGAGAATTCCTGGAGAACAGGCGAAGTCCCGGAAGACTGGAGGAGGGCAAATGTTGTCCCTATTTTCAAAAAGGGGAAAAGAGAGGACCCAAATAATTATCGCCCAGTCAGTCTGACATCAATACCAGGGAAGATTCTGGAGCAGATCATTAAGCAAACAGTCTGTGAGCACCTAGAAAGGAATGCTGTGATCACCAATAGTCAGCATGGATTTCTGAAAAATAAGTCGTGTCAGACTAACCTGATCTCGTTTTTTGACAGAATTACAAGCCTGGTAGATGAAGGGAACGCAGTTGATGTAGCCTACCTTGATTTCAGCAAGGCATTCGACAAGGTGCCCCATGATATTCTTGTAAAGAAGCTGGTAAAATGCAGTCTTGACTATGCTACCACTCAGTGGATTTGTAACTGGCTGACTGACCGAACCCAAAGGGTGCTCATCAATGGTTCCTCTTCATCCTGGAGAAGAGTGACTAGTGGGGTGCCACAGGGTTCTGTCTTGGGCCCGGTCTTATTCAACATCTTCATCAAAAACTTGGATGATGGACTCAAGGGCATCCTGATCAAATTTGCAGATGACACCAAACTGGGAGGGGTGGCTAACACCCCAGAGGACAGGATCACACTTCAAAACGACCTTGACAGATTAGAGAACTGGGCCAAAACAAACAAGATGAACTTTAACAGGGAGAAAGTATTGCACTTGGGCAAAAAAAAAATGAGAGGCACAAATACAAGATGGGGGACACCTGGCTTGAGAGCAGTACATGTGAAACGGATCTAGGAGTCTTGGTTGACCACAAACTTGACATGAGCCAACAGTGTGACGCGGCAGCTAAAAAAGCCAATGCAATTCTGGGCTGCATCAATAGGAGTATAGCATCTAGATCAAGGGAAGTAATAGTGCCACTGTATTCTGCTCTGGTCAGACCTCACCTGGAGTACTGTGTCCAGTTCTGGGCACCACAGTTCAAGAAGGACACTGACAAACTGGAACGTGTCCAGAGGAGGGCAACCAAAATGGTCAAAGGCCTGGAAACGATGCCTTATGAGGAACGGCTAAGGGAGCTGGGCATGTTTAGCCTGGAGAAGAGGAGGTTAAGGGGTGATATGATAGCCATGTTCAAATATATAAAAGGATGTCATATAGAGGAGGGAGAAAGGTTGTTTTCTGCTGCTCCAGAGAAGCGGACACGGAGCAATGGATCCAAACTACAAGAAAGAAGATTCCACCTAAACATTAGGAAGAACTTCCTGACAGTAAGAGCTGTTCGACAGTGGAATTTGCTGCCAAGGAGTGTGGTGGAGTCTCCTTCTTTGGAGGTCTTTAAGCAGAGGCTTGACAACCATATGTCAGGAGTGCTCTGATGGTGTTTCCTGCTTGGCAGGGGCCACCACCCCACAGAGGGGTACCTGGCAACTTCCAGATGCACCTTGGTAATACAGCTGTCAGTGAATGTTATAGACACACTGCTAATCCTGGCTTTCAACACAGAAGATGTCTATTTTTAGGGGGGGGGGAATTTCTTCGGTTTTAAATTGTTGTAGCCTATTTCTGCCATTGCTTAGTAATTTGTTTCCACGAACAAGCATTCTTCAAGTTATGCCTGAAGGCAGAGAGCCTTCTCGGTAGTGGCGCCCGCCCTGTGGAACGCCCTCCCATCAGATGTCAAGGAACTATCCGACTTTTAGAATACATCTGAAGACAGCCCTGTGTCAGAATGTTTTTAATGTTTGGTGTTTTACTGTGCTTTTAATTTTCTATTTGGAACTGTCCAGAGTGGCTGAGGAAACCCAGCCAGATAGGCGGGGTATAAATAATAAATGATGATGATGATGATGATGATGATGAAAAAGATCTCAAGGCTATTTCATACTGTCATGAGCATTATTTTTTATTAAATTTGAATACTGCCCTTCATCTGTCAATCTCAGGGCGGTTCACACCATACTAACAGAAGATAAAAACATAAAATGCATAATAAAAACAAGAACAAACCAAACCAATAACCGCCCACCCTTGCCCCTCCACAGTTTTTTCCTTATTCTTTTGAGGCGCGGGGGGGGGGTAGTATAGGGAGCCAAAAGGAGCTAAACGATCTCAAAACACAAACCAAACCAAAGTAATAATTAAACACAAACACAGCTAAAAAGATTTCAAATCCAATTGGTGATGGGGGGGAAAGAGTATAATACAATTCGATTCATGCAAAATGCATACATATTAGGTCAGTTTCCTCAAAACCAAACATTTCCCTAAATAAGTGGCTAAACAAGTGACTGTCACAAGACCCTATAAGCGGACACACTGAGATTAGTATAGCAATGGCACAGGGTATACAGTTAAACTTTTGTATTTTATTTCATAAAATCATATAGCTGGAGGGGACACCAAGGGTCATCTAGTCCAACCCCCTGCAATGCAGGAATCTTTTGGGGCCCAAACACATGATTAAGAGTCTTGGGTTCAAGTAAGTAAGTAAGTAAGTAAGTAAGTAAGTAAGCAAGCAAGCTGGGCTCAGGATGCCTAACATCAGTAAAATTACAGTAAAAACATAATGGGGTGTGGGGACCCAATTTAAAATACAGTGGCACCTCAGGTTAAGAACTTAATTCGTTCTGGAGGTCCGTTCTTAACCTGAAACTGTTCTTTACCTGAAGCACCACTTTAGCTAATGGGGCCTCCTGCTGCTGCCGCGCCACCGGAGCAAGATTTCTGTTCGTACCCTGAAGCAAAGTTCTTAACCCGAGGTACTATTTCTGGCTTAGCAGAGTCTGTAACCTGAAGCGTATGTAACCCGAGGTACCACTGTACAGGTTAAAATGCAATTTAAAATGCAGCCTCATTTTAAAAGTAGCCCATAGAT